GTTGGTGAGCAAAGTCCAGCCCAACGAGGCTCTGATTGGTGTACCTACATGAATAAGGTCAGGGATCGGGTTTGCACCACGAAACACGCAAAATAGGCATCACTGTGAAATATCAATCTACAATTCTTTGATGAAATGTTTTCTTATTGGCAAGAACTTACGAAAACAATTCTGAAAATATTGTGGCAATAGCCGGTCGATTCTTGACGAACCGTAGTTTCATCAACTTGTCCTAGGTATCCCGAAAACAGCAAAGGTCTGAAGTGAGACTTTAAAACAATAAAATCTTCATACTTTAACCAGGTAAGCGAGTGACAAGACAATAAATCGTAAAAAACACGCAAAGATACCTGATAACCTTCCACAACAAAAGTTTGCTTCCAATCTCAGCAGTTCACACTGTTATTGATGTTTGCTAGCATGCTCGATTGGCGTCGTTGTTGTTGTGGTAAATAGAGCTGGAGTGTTCAAGGTTCAATTCTGGTTGCGAACAGCCAACGGCGTTTTTGGGGGGGGGGCGGCTGGGGCTGGAGTATTCTAACAATTTCTACAAATGCAATGACTCGTTTTTCAACCAGGATGCATTTCAAAAAGGTGACTTGGGTTGCTGAATAACAGGAATACAAAGGCGGGTCGAAATATTGGCGGATACCTTATTGATAAAATCTGTATTTGAGTCCGACATCTGTGACGCAGTCAAAATACCAAAACCACAATGCAGGAAATAAAGTTACTGACAATTTTTCATGACCGCACTTATTAGGAGGGCTGTAAATGGGGTGCAAACAAGGACGATTTACCGGGGGATGTGATCGATTCGGTTTAAAGTACTTTCTGGTATTCGGTAGCTACAAAATGATGCAAAATTACTTAATTTATATTTTTATCTTTTTCATCTTAAAGCTTAAAACTGAATATTTAAAAATTGGCTTTTCCATCGTTGTCTAGTCACCTGAAGGGTATGGTACCAAAATCGAATCATTATCAATCTTACACCCTGCCCCGCTCCCAATCCTTGTCGCTTAAATCTGTTCCTTGGGTACCAGCCTTACTTTTGTAATACGCGGTCTAAGGACTTATTTCCAGAATCAAATGAAAGAACAACGACAAATTTCTCGGAACAACAAGATATGTGTCCATGAAATGCTTTTACGAGTAAATCGTATTTTTCAAGCTTATCAGACTCAGCTTTGCTGTTTTCACCTACCGCGCGTGCGTTTCCCTTACTTTCCCCCACGTCAATTAATATTGTTTTCCCCTACTTGTCATCCCTGCAATTTTTTTCACCCAAGCAGTGCAGTAACTAGATAATTGTGGTTTGGGGGGAAGGGGTATTGAATAGTGATAAACAAATGTACGGTGGCCCACAGGTGCCACGGCAAAACTTACTTTCTCACGGCAAAACTTTCTTTTTCACGGCAAAACTTTCTTTTTCACGGCAAAACTTTCTTTCTCACGGCAAAACTTACTTTCTCACGGCAAAACTTTCTTTACGTGTTGTTGTGTACGTGATACTTAGATCTAATCAATGCTTTAGACGTTTTAAACTTCGCAGAATTTGCGAATACCTACATCTTCTCTTGATAATTTTGCAGAAAGACAGCCGAGAAATGTTCTAAAATTTATCTAGGTTGGGCTAGGCTAGGCCTATATGCCTATCTCAACGAAACAGTACCGCATGCAAGGTCTTTGATTCCTTTGTTTTGAAAGCAGTGAAAAAGATCAATTAATTGAAAATTGGCGTGCACATAAAATTCGTGCAAAAAAATCACGTACGTGCACTTGGCACGCTCGATTGTGGCTTGTAAAAAACCTATAAATTGGGTATTGTGTTTAATATCATATCATATCGTATTACTCACAGGGTGGGTTGATGGCTAGGTACTTAATTTTTCGAATAATAGTAATAACAATGAATAAAGAAATGAAATAATAAGCATGGGCATAATATAAGGGGAGAAAAAAATCGAAGTGGTTGCCCAACAAACAACATCCATTGTTTATGAAAATTTTGCCTGACTGAATCATGGTAGATTTCTGCCTGATTATCGCTTTTTTGGAAACTTTTCAGTGTTGAGAAACTACAGTTGCCGCTACAGCCCCCTTATCTCCCCAGACCCTTGTCTACTACGCCTATGTTAGAAAAGCAAAAGGAACAAAGCAATACGACGACGAGAATCCAATGTCACGAGATAAAATTTTCAAAATAAATTTAATATAAGTAATAAATTAAATTCAAAGAAAGTTTTGCCGTGAGAAGTAAAGTTTTGCCGTGAGAAATAAAGTTTTGCCGTGAAAAAAGAAAGTTTTGCCGTGAGAAAGTAAGTTTTGCCGTAAGAAAGTAAGTTTTGCCGTGAGAAAGAAAGTTTTGCCGTGGCACCTGTGGGCCACCGTACAAATGGGCACACCTCCTTCAGAAATTCCTAAATTGCAAATGCCCTTCGAGTGTGTAAGTAATTATTAAACCTCAATTGAGCCTTCAAGATTAAAAACACCGTGTTTTATGCCGTTTTCAAAGAAATATGTTTTTGAAATTTCGAAATATCGAAACAAAGGCGTTTGACGCTTTTGTCAATTTCCCCCTTACGGATCTTACGGATGGCAATTTTCCCCGTAGGTTTCCCCTACTAACTACAAGGCCCTGTATTCCCCTACCGTAGGGGAATTACCCTTTGTGTGGAAACGCTGATAATTGTGTTAGAATCTAAATACATAATTGTGCAACATAATGGTATGGCCCAAGGGACAAATAAATGATACGCGAAGGTCTATTTAAAATCTGCGAGGTTAATGCGTTACTGAGTTGATTAGAAAACGTGAACGTAGAAAAACAAGCAAAATGGGCGTTTTAAAATATATATCCTGTATAACTTTGTTGGTGCCTCTCGCTGCGAAGCATGACGTGTGTTGCGAGGCAAAGCAGTAGTACACTTTATATACATATTTACTTTACTCTTATTTTACATAGGGCACTTAAATATGTATCTGGATCCAAACGCCGCAAAACCATGTAAAAAATAGGATACTCCAAAAGACATCTTATTATCCTTAGAAATTGATAGCTATCATTTAAATGTTGACGGAAATCTCGTATGCCTTATCGATACTTCTTCTGATAAGGCACAGATTTTGTGCTGGTGAAAGTATGGTTAAATGGTTTCACATGACGCAATGAGTAATATTTCTGTATGTATAGCTCAAAATCAGACATCTAGAAACTTTCTTAATCGAAGGGCCAGACATAATCATCACCAGAATAATACAGGGGAGGCCAGGCCACTAAGATATAGAAAAATAAGTATGAAAATAAGTGATATCCTTATTGTGCGTTGACCAACTTTACTTTTCAGATTGATGCAACATCGTTTCTTGTACCTTCTTAGGAAATTTATATTGGTAACTTTTACTTTGTTAAGTATTCATTATATATAATAAATATGCCGCTACACATGGTGACATAGTTCTGCATCAAACTTTCTAGCCACTTCCTTCAAAGCAATAGATTGATAATAGATTGACTAGTCCCCCCCCCCCACCACTTTTCCAGAAAGTTGGTCCTTGAGTCCACCTTTTGTCCCCCCCCCCCCAGTTATCCCAGGCTGGAGCCGCCACTGCTGCTGTATGAACAAAACTTGGAGTAACCCAGAGCCGCTCCCGTTTTAACCTTTTTTTTCTCTTCTCATTACCACGACTGTAATAGTTTTATTTTATGTAAACAGGCTAGCCAGTTAAAAATTACCTTTGTAATAGTGTTGTAATTGTAGTTTTAACTGGAATAGGCCCAATCCCTAATGACGTCATATTGACCATTTCGCGCGCCACACGCACGCAGCACATAGTCGTAAAGTAAACCAAATTAAATTCGCTGTCAAAATGATACTAACTATCTAACAATCGTACTTAAAATGGAAACAAATTTTGCAGGTTATATTTGCAGGTATGATGGGTAAATTTCAGGTCAGATGGTATCATATTGGTCCCAATGTATACCCAATACTAAAATGCATAAAGCAATATAAGCATTTTGCATAAAGAATTTGTGCGCTGTTTGATCCATATATACATTTAAAAAATAATTCAACTTCTTGATGGAAGCATTGATCTCTGCACGCACAACAGAAGGAGCTCTTCATCCAGGGACATTAGGTTTAGCCTTTTAAGTTCTCCCCATCACGGACACTTTTCACGTTTTTGTTTTTAAACTCTTCTCTAATATCTACGATGGTGAGTTTTGGCAAAACACGAAGTAATTGGTTACCTTTGAAAACCTAACAAAATTTTGATATATCACTTATGATAGCAAAATAATCAACTGGCAATGCACTCCAATGTCAAAACAAGGAACAGCAGGAAATTAGAAATCCCAAATCATAATATTGAGTAAAAAGCTTTTACTATTTGGCTTGGAATGGTATTCTAATTGATATGAAAAAGCTCCCCTTGCATAATGGACTCAAAAAGCAATTAAACCTTGTCCTACAAACTGAAAGCAATCAAAACAAAACTCCCATGGTAGTGCAGCTGTTAAATAGCTACGTTGTTGTACTTAAGTTTAGCTTTAATTGTATATATGTATGCATGCAATACTGGTATTTACTTTCTTATTTAGTATTAAGTTTGTATGTTGCAGAGAATTCTACATAAAACAGATTTTTACCAGTTTTTTGTTCATTGTATCAGTTTTCGAGCTAAACTTAGGCCAAGAAGCTACCTCCTCTTCTTTATCCTATGGACCAAGAGCTTCTTCAGAGTAATTTTCCCAAGCATGATGAATTTTTGAAAAAATAGGGCAGCCCTCCGTCAGAAATATGGATTGAAAAAGTAGCTCGATAGGTAGTGTCATTTCATCAGCAAGTTTAATTTGTCTACTTTGCGACTGGGTGCTGGGTGTGAGCAGCACTGTAACTACAGGTCCCAGAGTGCATATATTTGAAAATCTATAAATTTGAAAATCTTATAATCATCAACCTGGCACTGGACACCCTCCCCCCAAAAAAAACTTTCTTGTGTGGTCTCTGCAATAAAGGAAAGCTAATGTTCTAGTTCTCAAATAGAGGGCAAACTGTCTTAACATCTCAAACAGATCATAGTTTAGCTAAATACACACAAGATTAGGAGTCATATATCTAGAACAGATTTCTGCTAAGATAATCCTCCTAGATGATCACTGAGGTGAAGAGTGTACATTAGAAAGACCCACACTTAACAACCTTGCTTCAAATGAAGAGACATCCTAAATGGATCCCTACAATCTCTTGCAAAATCATGTACAGACAACATTTGTATAACTAAGTATATTTGCTCGAGTGAGGCAAGTCTGGGTCTACATATCATCACCTCAAAGAACCGGAAATTAGGGGAGGGGGCTATGATCTGTATAATTTGGAAGCACTTTTATTTTGGCATTGTATCACCCTGAATTTTTGGTTTAGTTACCTGCCCTGAAGGTTTTTGAGTAGTTTACAGTAAAATGCATTCCCTTATTGTTTCTGTCATAGGTACATTGTTTGCTTGCATCGCTGTTTTAAAATCTCACTCAGCTGTTCTGATGATCAGATTTTTACTTGGCTTTTGATGGTGCCTTGGTTTGAGGAATTATATGGAATTGATTATCTGTGAACAAAGTTTTGGATTAGAATGTTGATTGCCAATAAAATATTTTTTGAACATGCAGAAAATTTTCTTCATTCCATGAAACGCATGTGAATAACAATCTGAATAAGGATAACTTAAACATTCAATTAAGCATGCAACTTAAAATCAGTCATGGCAAAAAGCTTTTCTTTTATGCGTCTCTTCTATTTCAATAAATTGAATGCTCGCATCACTACAGTTTGTCTTAAATTGTAAGGTGAAGCCTTCAATTCACTGAAGGTTTCTCTCTTGTCAGCATCAAGAGTACCGGAACACCAGTCAACCCACAAGAGATGACAGCTAAACATCCAATGGCCTCAACAAGAGTCTAAAAAAGAAAAAAGGAATTAGCAATGCATATCATATCATTTTGGTTCAAAAGTTACAAAAGGCCCTATAAATAAATCAAGATTATAGAAGACCTTATTCTTGTTGATTAAACAGTACTTGACCTGCATGATGAACTCGTGAAAATCCAGTTCACATGATGACTGATGCAACTTGTATTGTATCTCATTATCTTTTCATTTCAGATCAACACTCTGTTCTGTTAAGAGGACAATACTTGCATCTGAAACCCCCTACATTGTTCCAGGCAGCATTGAATCAGCCTATTCTGAATATAAAGCCCATATATATTAATAAATACAAATAAACATTAGCGAGAAGCAAATTTACTCAAAATTCAGTTGCTTTACCTATAATAAAGATCATATACAGCTTAAAAAAGACAAGGATCAGACAGCCAGTGGGAGTGTGGCCTTCATTGTTTAGTAAGATATTTGTTGATAACTGATAACAGAAGCTTTTGTACTCTCTAAGCCATCCACATTGAAGCTATATCTGCAGTCCTCTGGCAATGTAGTTCTTAATCAGCTACACTGCTGTATAATTGATTTTGGAGAAACACACAAATTTCTATCCAGTGACAGGCTTTTCTGCTTTTAGCATATGATTTACTTCTATTCAGAAGCTGTTACTCCCCCAAATCAAGCAATTTTCTTCCTGAACGACAAAATATCAGTGACTCTAAGCAACTGTTGATCAGGTCAAAAACTCTGTGTTCACAGGTCATCCAGATCTTATTTCAGAGATAATGTGGACAGAGAATTTCATATTTGGTCATGTATTCCAAGTAGCTATGCCACAAAATAGTACAAATCCATTTCTCAAGGAATCGTGGTTGTTTTGAAATCAAGAGGTTTTTTTTATATATCACTTAAAAAAACTCTAAATAATACATGATACAACTACTGTGCCCATCCTGGTGGGAATAGACACTGGGTCATCGGAGTTCCCTCCAAGGTCGGGCACTTACAATTTGAATTTAATATTCAAAGAAAGAAAAGCCAACAAAGCAAAGAAAACAAACAAAGAATGAACAACAACGAAAACGTTACATTCGGACTCACACTCAATGACGGGGAGCAACATCCGCAGAACAAAATGTCAGTCAGAAGGACACAAGCACACAGCACCACACCACGCACCCACGCCGTCAGACCCCCATCAGAGTCCAGCAGATATCATCCGACATCAAGTGCGAGACAAAAATATTCTTCAAAGACAATTGTTCAGTGTTGAGGGAAAGGGGTGCTGCTTTGTTTACATCTGAAGCACGCCCAAAGCCACTAGGAACAAACCCCAGTCCCAAAGCGCACCTGCCATGGGAACCCCCGAAATAATAGGGTATCCCAAGGCCACCACGCCACAAGCAGGTTCCCTGTTTGACAAAGTATTGTAACACTTCCTTTGATCGATTGAATCAGTTGATATTGTTATCATTTTAGCAATTTATGCTTATTTATACTTGGACCAAATTACAATAAAAAATGTCAGCCATTAATCTTGTTAAAATTCACTGATTTTTGTTTGTTCTTAGAGCATAGGATTTTCAGTGCTTTGTTTGAAGTACATCACCCTGATAATTTTTTAGATAATGCCAGAAATCAATTTGACCATAAGGAACATCCAAGGGTTATAAATATCATTTTTCAGAGGAGGAGAGTAGGTACAATAGAAATGCACAAAACTTTAGCGTTTTCTACAAAGGTTTTTCTTAGATACACAGCCACAAACTTTTGGGTATTCAAGTGTGTTGCTAGAGATGCAAGATACTTTTTAAGTTTGGAAATTAATGCTAATTTTTATTCCCCTTTTCTTGCCGGTAGATAACTTGAAGAAGCAAAAGTGTGCCGCTTTATAAAATTTTTCATTCGTTAGATTTTTCTTAGAATCTTTCGCATGATAAATAGCATTTTTTAGCCACACGTCCATATAAAATTAAATTCCCATTATTGCACAAGAAGTCTTAGGTGTGCACCCTCATTTTAGGGACAAATATTGGATGTGGCAAGGATAAACTCTGCATGCCGATGGCAAGCCTAGACAGTAGGACTCTCTTCATAGATGACAAGAAAAAGCTTTACATCTATCTAATTTCACACAAAATTACTTTACATCAAATTTTTAAACCCGAGAGTTGCTTATTTTAGAGATAATGCATTGTTGGATTTATGAACAAATCTATGGCAAGATTAGTCTCTGTAACGATCGAAGAAGCCTTGACTGTTTTATATTTGGCACTTACGTGTGGCTTTCTGCCCCCTTCAAGTTGATTTGGAGCTCCCGACATCTGCCTCGTAGATGCTCTAGTTGGAATTGACACAAGTCGTTGAAAAGCTTGTCTCATTGCGCCTGACATATTGAAGAACTTTTGAATTTAGTTACAACTTATTGACTTGCTCTGAACTCCAACACGACCTCACGAACCTCACTTGACACAGTCGGTGAATGCGCATGCGTAAAAAGCTGCTCAACCAACCACCCTTGAAAACGAGGCGGCTGGTGACATTTGCTTCTTGGAAACTTTTGCCAAAGCGGAAAAACAGATCCAAGCATGGCAAAGACACGCAGAAAAAGGAACAGGAATAACTTGCTTCAAGCTCTATTTCGCGTTGAGCGGATCGTATTTTGTAAGTTGAAAATTTGTGTATCATGAAATTGAATTCCAATTTTTTCACTTGTTCTTAAAACAGGGCTATAACGAACTGATCTAAAGAATAGAAGTTGTAAAAGATATATTTCATTTTTTTCATTTCATTTTAAACACACGGGGTAAAGCTATCAACTATATATACAGAAATTGTCTTCCAAGCTGCCCTGTACAAAGAAAAAAGATAAACCCTAAAATCTAACAATATAAATAAACAAAATATAATAACACAGTAAAAGCAGTTTATAACAAAACAAAAACATTCATTTTTAACCTTTCTTGCATGGCGATTGTAGATAAGATTGCTTTCAGTAAAAAATCTGCTTTTTGTATAAGTCATTTGCTTTTCTTTTGATTGAGATTGGAAATTTAAAAAAATTGAAAAGTTTTTAAAACCACTGTTACCAAAAGGCCAAGCTAGATTATTAATTCTCTCAAGCAATACCCGAAACAATAAAATAACTGTGACACACCCTCATCAAGGCTGGTGAAAAACGTGTTTTGAAGAAGATACTTTTCAAAATACGGGGATGTGTTAGATATTCTCATGATGTTGGGGTCTGTATTATGCCCAGATATTTTGCCAAAGCTATTTCACATGGGTTTTGATTTTTATTCCATTTTATTCCATGATAAGGCCTCAGATGTTGGGGTCTGTAAGATATTCTAAGAAAAAAGTACTTTGAAATTTATTTACACCATCAAAGATTTCAAGCACAAAGACACTCATCACTTTGCACTATTGTGTTTTTCTATAATTTATATTTCGACACGTCCGGTAACGTCTAAGAAGTAAAAGAAATTCGTACATCATAAAACTAATAATGCTAGGCTAGCGTAACACACACAATGTCACAAATCAAAATTATAAAATCTACAATTCCGTTTTCCAAAGCTTACCATAAAAGTCCTTACCTTACCGTACCAGACGCAGTTTTTTACATTCTTCAAACTTTAAATAGAAATATTAACTACAATCAAGACACCTTGTGGGTATCATTAGGACCACGAAGGCATACACAAGGAAACCAGCCTTAGTACGAGGAAATGCAAAAGCATTTGGGATCAGTGTTTTAGGACTGACTTAGACGCTTGTTGTAATGTTCCAAATTTTAATGGGTTTTGATGATCATAGGATATTCTCGTGTTAACAGTGCGATGATTAGCTTATGTTTATTGGTACTTGAGTACTGAGTAGAGGCTGAGATACGCATACGAGTTTCTCGGGGTTTTTTATCCGCTACCGCAACGGTCTTTGATACTACCTCATCTTTTTCTTTAGACCCTGATACGCCGAGTAGCTTGCGCGTAAATAGGGAGGGATATTGGCGAGGAGTTTTGCAATAGAAAAGGGCTTTAATTTGGGGGTTTGTTGAGTAAAATCTTCAAAAGTACAAGTGACAGAAAATAGAAGTGAAACTTTTTGATGAGGAACAAAATTTTGAAAACTTGGCATTTTGAAAACGACACATTTATGTTTGAACAACCCGTTTTGCTTTGCAGCCCGACATTCTTTGAAATGACATGAATAAAAGTTATTATCTATCCAAGTCAGGCTTGGCTTATCATTTCCTATATTTTATCTTTTTTCTTAAAAACTATACGTGCCATATAATACCAACTACATGCCTTGTAAGGAACAGTCCAGAGGTTTATCCCCTCTACTTTCATAAACTTTCATTTGAAATACATTTTGTGTCCTGGCATCCAATCACAGTATACAATAACTTCCTTATTAAAGGCTGGTATTAAAAAGAAAGATAATACAAAGAAAGCATCTCAAAAATTAGAAAATACAAAAAGGAATGAAAAAGACAAAAATAAAGGAATACGCTTGGCATAATCTAAAAATAAACAAACATCTGAAATTAAATCTATTCGAAATGACCGCCATCAGGCAAATGATATATTATAAAACAAAACTACAAAAGAAAAGCTATGCTAATGCCTTGAAACACTGCTAGTAACAAAAAATTACTCTATTTTCTCTTTCTTGAAAGGACCTACTACATCCTATGACTGTAGGTAGCCAAATGAATGAATTCTTCTTTTATAAATGAAATTTCGAAAGCCAAAGTCCAAAAACCTACAAACAAGGACAACAGTATATCAAATAACAAAAGATATGCTTGTTTCTGTTTTACTCTGCAGTAAGCAGGACTATGGATTTCTGTTTATGGCCTAACATTCTACGACATGTGGATGAAACGGAACTTGACCGTGAATTTTATGCTTCTACGTGGCAGAAATAATTGGTTGGTTGCTACCTGTGTTGAAGTTGGTTGAAGAGAATATTCCTATCAGCCTCAATACGGCTTTACATGCTCAATTAGGATTATGCCATTTGGTTAAGGTGGAGTCTTTGCTTAGCGATTTATTCTTTTAAAAAGTAAAGCCGCTGCGATAGTTCAAAGAATAGGGCTTTAGAAGTTTTTTTACTGTATTAAAATGTATTAAAAGAAGAGTATGCAATTGTATTAAGAAAAGAATGCATAAAATAGGCTGTGTGCTGGAAAAGAATTTAGCATCTTCAGAAGGTTGTGACACTGTAGGCAACAGCAGGCGATAATGACTATTTTGCTACAATCCTTCAAAAAATATATTGAGACCCGTGATGGTATCAGAACAAATTTAATAGCAGTAAACTATACGATCTTTGCACACACGATTTGCAACTATTTCACCAAATCTCAACAAATATCATTGCTTTGAGGGGGCGGGGGAGGAAAGGGGACGGTGGAAGGATTGAACAACAAATAAGTCTGTCTGAAGCCTAAGTCGAAATTACGAATTGTTTACAAAATAATTTCGATAGGATATCTTTTCGGTAAAATACGCCAAACAGACGTTTGCATTATTGTGAGATGGGAAGGAAAGAAGTCTTCCTTTTTTTATGGACGATTGTACCCTCTAGTTCAATAGAAGTTGGAATAATTTCGGTTTAGCATAAGTTTTGGTTTCAACTGTGGCAGGGTCCTTGGAGAACCGGGGTGTCTTTTTGTGTTGCTGAAACATCTCTTGAAAGATTAAGGTTAATGGTAGGCAACGGTAGGCCAGTGAAGTGGTGTCTTATGACACTATATAAACACTAAATTAACTCTAGCATTGTAAAGGAGCAGGATATTTGCTTACCAGTTTCAATCTGTCTTGCAATAAGCATACTGCAAGTCTCCGTAATTCTCTTCCTTTATAGTGCTGCTTGTAATCTCGTCCAGAGTTGCTGACCTCGGTCTCAATTCTGTTTGTCTTCCAAGAAGCCTCTCATCTTTCTGTGCTAAGCAAAACTTAATTTGTGAAAATCGTGGTCGTCTTGATTCTTCAGGGTGCCTGTAAACGATAATGTTAAAAAGGAATGATTCATGTTAAAAAGGAATGATTCATGAACATTTCAAGAAATTGTCAAGAAAATTAGAGAAAAACCCACATTTTTTAGAAGAATTTTTTTTGCATCGTCCGCAAAATATGTTTACAAGAAATAAAATATGATTGTGTTTGATATCTAAATCAAATTGTCTAAAAACTTTCTAGAACATAATTTTCTAGTAAGCAAGTTTCTACAAAGCCTAAATTTGTACTTCAACAATACAACAGACGAAAAGGACTGGGCAAATCAACCACCCAACATGATATTGAATGTCCAAATTTTTTGTGAGTAATCTTTCTTTGCACATTTGTTACAAGTGCCCTTTGTCTAGTCTGTGCCTTTAAGGTTAAAGGCCTCCAAGAGACAGGCAAACAATTTGCTTAAAAATCTGTTTAAAATGCAGAGTGTAATAATTTTCAACGACATAAGCTAACTTCAAAACTAAATCCAGTGACACCATCACCGTAGATTATAAATGCCAAGCCAGCAAAAATTTATTTTGAAGCATTATCAATACTTTTGTACAAGGACAATTTTTTTAATGATAGGTTCTCTTAAGGGAGGCGACTGGCAAACGATGGACGTGAAATCAGGGGGTTGAATAACTGGTTGACCATGAGGCCTGCTCTCGAGGCACTTTCATAAGGCTACTTAGGTTAACTGTGGATCAGTCTATAAAAAGGTATCTCCTTCAGAAACAAAACATGGGAAACAATTTTTATGGGCTATTTTGCTTCGTATCTAGGTAGCAAAATGTAACAACGCTTACATACCAGCAATCAATCATTAAATGATAAATCACTCGCGGACAATCTTTTGGAGGAGGCAGTCTGTATCCTCGGTTGCAAACGTTTTCGATCACCTGGGTGAAAATAGATAAATAATGAATCTAGCCAGTTCAGGACCAACAACTTTTGTAGTAACAAGGTGGATAAAAAAAAGTAAATCCTCGAACTGCCCCCTTAACCGTATGAGCCCCCTCGAATAAGCCCTACTCTAGAGGTAAAATTTTTTAAGAAGCTCTATAGGCCCCTCCCCGCGAATAAGCCCCACCCTAAGATGTCAAGTTTCTTACTAAGCCCCATGTAAACCACCTAAATAGATAGCGCCCAGATGAATCCTGAAAGCCGCCTAAATGGGTAGCGCCATAAATGGATCCTAAAAACTACCTTCGCGTGCTAGGTAGAAACAAAGAAAATACTTTGACTTGATATTTATTAGGTAAAATTTCATAAAAAGCTACAAAACAAGCTGCTTTAATGGAAACTCGGAGGTGTCTTTTTAAACCTACCTCCTAAAGATAAGCCCCATGTAAACTGCCTAAATGCATAACGCCCAGGGGGCTGGTTCGAGGATTTGCAGTAATAATTTCGAGGCTGTGTATAACACGTTAAAACGAGGAGACGTAATTTTTTATGACTCGTTTAATCAACAGCAAATATAAGAATAAATGAAGGGTATTATGTAAAACAGGCTATAAAACCCACCAAAGATCTGCACATAAAGAAACAGTGGCCTGTGGATATTTGTTCCAAACGTAAATTTACGAGAAATCTCTACAACTATCAATATGATGGTTAAGTGCAAAATTTTGGGGATCAGCATAGAAAATGTTCATAAAACTAAAACAAATATCCAGCAGGCATAGAAACACTAATAATACAAAAGAATAGGCCAAATCAACTGCCTACTATTAACCACAACTCCTACAAGAAAAGATTTGTATCATACAAAACATATACAGACACTTCTAAATTTACGTCATCAACTTCTAAAACTTACGTCATCATTTGACCATCCTTCATAAGGCTTTTTACCCACACTCCATATTTCGTACAGCAGAACTCCAAAACTCCATACATCGCTTGCACTTGAGTATCGCCGAAATGACAGGGCCTAAACGAGATAAACATCAGTTTAGGGAATAGAACAAATACAATGCATCATGGAGTTTTTGTAGAATTCCTTAGCTGTTTGGCAATGCTCGTTCTCTTAGCACTGTTTCAATGTCTTAATATACCATAGTCTGCGCAACCGATTCTAAAACCGAAGGAGCCAGTAATATGAAGAAAGTATCCGTTTACACCACCCATTCCCGTTGTGGCAATACTTACAATGATTGCTTTTACAACGTGTTTGTTGTAAGCCACTGGTTATAAATATAAATAATTTAAGCTAACTTTAGTATTTTACTTAGAGAAAAAGTGGGGAAGCAATGGTCCCCTAGCCCCTTATCCCCCTATGGCAAGGGCCCTGGACACACAAAGTGAAATCGTATTAAACCTGGCAGGGTAAATTCAATGAATGTTGAAAATGCATATTGAAAAACCGAAGATTGTGGCTGTCTTTTTTTATAAGAATTTATAAGATTAAGAATCTTAATTCATTGGAGCCTCCAATTGTGAGTTACTGCTGAAAAAAACATTACCTCTGGTGCAGTCCATTTTACAGGGATTTGTCCTCCTTGAGAAATATAATGCTGACAGCCAATCAGATCACGTGCCAGCCCAAAATCACCAATCTGAGTATAAATAATTGTAAATAATCTTTTGATGGTATCAAATTTTAAAATTGCAATGAAAAGGAAAACATTTTAAAACATACTAAAGCTTTTCGTCTGACACTCTTCAAAAAATGAGCCATTAGAACATTTAAAAATCAAAATTCTAAGCTAAGAACTATATATCCAGTCGTGGATCTAAATAGCCCAATCAAAACGCCAAGCAATTGCTGTCAAGGTATCATTGTTCTGACGTTTCATACTCTGGAAAGTGCCAAACCAAAAGCTTGAGTATAAATATTTTAAAACGCTTGTTTTCAAGCCATCAATTAATAAAGGATTGTAAAGAAAAATTCACATGCTAAAGTTAATAAGGTAGTGGCCATATTAGACATGAACCACGTGATAGAACGCGTTCTCTTTGACAATATCTAAATTTCTCTTTTGAATTTAATCTTAATTAATATCAAACTGAAACATAATATTTGGAAAAAATCTTACTTTGCAAACCATACTTTCGTCCAGCAAAATATTTCTTGCTGCTAAATCCTGCAAAAGATTAGATCAGTGCAAATTAATGACAAGCACCTATTGTTATTAAGCACCCATTTCATCATAAGGGGTTCATTAATTATGGCCCAAAAATGGCTTTTCTTGATTAGCAGAGGTTGATTGTCGAAGGGGGCATTTGCAAAAGAGTGGGCGTTAAGAGGGGGAGTACAAAGTATTACAGCAAACAGTACATCTTCCATCATACAAGATGCATTATATTTACGCATTAAATTATCATATTTACCCGGTGCACGAACTGCATTCCTGATAAATATGTCATTCCTGCAGCTATTTCCCGCGCCATTTTCAATAACTGCCTGTGTAAATCGTGGTTTTTGTTTCCTGGAAGTTTCTTTGTCCTAGATCAAAGGATATAAAAACCAAATTAAAATGATTTGAAAAGATGCATCTAGTACAAGCTTATACTATACAAAAGCTTGTAAACTGAACAGAAGTTGACGCTATAAGGCAAGTAGGCCTAAATCAAAACCAGCAGCCATCGACAAAATAATAAAATCTGCACGACAACATTAGCCAATTTAAACTTTCTACTAACTTTCAAGTATCTTTCGAGCTAAGTTTATAAAAACTATGAGGATGGTTAAATAAACTATGAAAATCCATAAATCAGCTATTATTGGTCTTCGTCACGTAATCATATCTTTTCTGTTTCATGCTGAATTCCTTTGCCCAGAACGTCTTATAACAATATCCACGGCTATACATTTCTTTAATTATTGTTATCGTGTTATTTCAAATAATCATGACTGCAAGTAACTTGTAGCTGAACTAACCTTAACCTTTGTTCTCTTCTTAAATATTTTCGCAGATTTCCGTTTTTCATGTACTCCAGAATAATCATTGGCTGAAATAGACACCAAAAACAAGAATTAAAGATGTAAACAATGTATTAAATGACGTTTGCTTAATATCAATGACAGTTAAAAGACTGCCTCAACAAAGAACCACTTAATCTAGATAAATAACAAAGATCTAGATATAGTAACCTTTTTCATATTGAAAAGTAATATAAATAATATCTAGGCTTAATAATGATATATAAATAATATTTTATTTGGAAAGAGCAAGCACCGCATACTCAAGGTTGGCTCGTTTCTGAAACCCCTTTATACCGATGAGCTTATCTGTAATAATTGTAGTGAAAAATGTTTCGGACGTTCATTCGAAGCATTAGTCATTCCAAGTCAATCGACTCTAATACGACATATGCTATGCACCATGTGGTGTTATCAGTAGGAGAGTCAACAAGGCAATGTCGGAGTAAAAAAGTCTTAAATTACAAACGATGTTCAACCTAATGTTTCAACCAACCTAATGAAAATGGGCAGGAAAATTCCATTTAGGTACAGAAAGTTGTAAAACTGAAATGTGACCTGCCTCCATCTGCCATAAATTCAACGGGCAGATTTCTGAGATGCCTAAAAGTGGGCCTGAGATGTATTCGAGCTTACAACTTACCGGGTAACGCTTGGTCACAACACCAAACATAAATATGACGTTTTGATGAGCAAATTGCTTCATAATGGCTGCCTCTTGAAGGAATTTTATCCTCTCTTCTGCAGAATTTGAATCTTTCATTGACTTGATTGCAACACTTTTGCTAGCACCATCCGACTAAAAAAATTAATTAATGGGCATAAGTTTATTAGAGACACCTGCGATAACCTAGAAAATGTATTTAGAAAATGTTGATGAATTGTTCCAAATAGGAGAACATATTTAATCTAGAACACCAAGTGTGTGTCATTAGCGGTGATGTTCGAATGAAGGAATATCCACTTTAGTTTTTGATAGAATAGAAGGAGATGCAGTATGTATCTATTTGTAACAGAAACGTTCATACAAAGACGAAAACAGGCCTGGCGGTAAGACTTTTAACAGGGGAGCAGTAAACGGGTCTCCTAGAAGTATTCAGGTGAGCTATAAGAATAGAAACAAAGGAAAATTGATTCACGGAGAGCAAATTTGCTTTTAGAACAATTTAGGAGAGCAATCTCTAACTCCCCTCCAGCGTTTGAGGAGAGCCTGGAGGGGAGCAAGAGCTATGGCTCTCCTCAAATGGCCAGGCCTGCGAAAACCTATTTTATCTCAAGAATGTAGCAGCGAAAATGGAGATAAGAACATTCAAGCAGTCGCCTGCTGCAGAGGACTCGAGGTTGTGGAGGACCTTTATAATCAAGGCTAGTAGAAGAGGAAAGTATTAACTGTCATATTATGTGCTGATCAACCTACCGTGTTCCATACTCCGTAATGAACATAGCCAAATGCCCTATAAAGAGAGGGAAAGTAAACCAATATAATACTGTAAGGAAGTCAACTTCTAATAACTGAATCTGTGGAAATAATTGTAAAAGATACATTTTCTCATTAAAGACTTAAAGCGTTTAAATGCTTGGCGGCAATTGTAACACACGCTGTAAACAAACCAAAGTGGCTTCGAGCAGTGTAAATGTGTTATCAAAATGATTTTTTGTCTATTATTGCTTGGTTTATAAAACACTTGACGAGGCTCTACCTACAACCTGAGAATTCTGAGCAAATGCCTTGTTGACGTACCCTTGTCCCAATTGAGTATCGTGTCGAACTGTCAACTCCTTCCAGTCTATTTCTCGATCGAGTTGTTCGCAGAGTTCCTTTTCGTTGCTTGGAGGCTCGAGGAAAATCTCTTGCTCGTGTAGCCTCTCACTGATATCTTCACTGCTTCCATAAACAGGCAAAACAAGGGTAACTTCACTGGTTTTCCGCTCAAGATCACATTCCTATAACGAGAAACAGAGGTCAATAGATGATATTCAGGCCCGTCACTAGCCATGATGCTCAAAGGGGGTTTCAAAGTCCAATTTTTACCGACAAAGTGGGGAGGCATCCTTTATTTGTCAACATAGCACCCCTAGATGGCAAAAAACTCATCGTTTTTGCAATGGAATTTATTTTTAAAGGTTGGTGTCACAGCCCTTATGGCCCCTATAGCGACGGACGTGGTGATTTTCGTGCTTTTCACTGTAATAAATATCCTGTTTAGAATATATCAAAAACTTTAGAATAATTCAAAAAACCTCAGAATATTTCAAAACTTTAGAATATTTGAAAACTAAAGAATATTTCAAAAAAGTTCCCATGCCTGAATAATGTGAATTTTTTTGCCTTTGTATTAACACTTAAAAGTTCTTATTACCGTCAAACGGGCCTCAAACTAAATAATGAATACAGAATTTAAGAGTATGCAAATTTTCTGTAAATAGAATTGTATTTTTGAATCTGCAAATATTTCAAAACTAAATCAAATTCTATCCACACGTGTTTGAGGCATACGTCATCGAACCCGTCAATGTTCAAGGACTTTTAAATATTCTACTAATCTGATACCAAGTTGACGCTCGGGTCAAGATACTGTTAAACCCAATGACGTAAAACTGGCTTGCACGCTTGCTGGCGCATGTTCTGGGGACAATACTTACAGAAAAGCTGTAAAAACCCACTGAATCAGTTAGAATTCGATTTAAATGTTCTACTTTGGGGCGTGAAAATTTTTGAACCAAAACAAAGGTTCGTGCACTGGTAAGTATCTTTTAATGCGGTGAGGAGCCTTGGAAAAATGATCTCCAAACAAACAACCACAGGAAAAAATTGCTAAATAATTATATGCATAATTGGAAATCTTACAAAATGGTATATATTAATTATTGCAATTGGAAATCCAAACGTACCGGTTCAACAACAAAGTAATGGTGACTTGGCGGTGTTCCTGTGTGTATAGAGTTTTGGTCATCGCTGAATTCAATCCGTGGCATTGAATGTAATTCAATTGTCTCAGTCTGAAAAAAACACCTTTGCCTAAGATGGGGTTCAAAATACCAATGCTATATCGTCTTAAGAGTGAGATCCTGGAAGATGTATTTTAATAACTACTGTAAGACTGTCAATGTAATTTATCTTTTAAATCCAATGAGAAAGACAAATAGGCTCAGTGGCAAGGGTCGCAGACTACAGTTCTAAAGATATGTGGCTCGTGTCCCTAAGAGAGAATCGATATTCACTAGGAGAGAATCGACAACGTTCTGTAATTCCAGGAATGTAAGACTCATGATTCCCAGTTTCCTGAAAAACTACCTTCGGAATCCAGGTAGGATCAAATGCAAAAAAATTCAAAGAAAAGATCACAGCATTAACTCAGTGAAGTTTTACGAACTCACTCAGTTCTTGATTTTAACAAGCGCTATTAAGAATTACTTGGCTTTGAAACTTACAGGAAAGTTGTTTAGGACCTTTTATCTCTAGCTCCTAGGGAACCCACAGATGGCTGATTTAGACTGAAATCGAGTCTTGAGTATGGTGGACAAAAGGTTGATAGGACTATTCTTAAAAAAGTTTCGAAAATTTAATATTCCTTTCTGCAAATACACTTACATCATGACCCATGTTCGTTGGCTCCATAACATAGCTGTTGCTTTTCTCTGATATAAACGACCCACTGAAAGACCGAGTTCGCAAGTAGTTGACATCGAAGTTGAACTGATAGGTACGCCGGGTTAATCGTCGTCTCCGGTAAGTAAGAAAAGCAAAAACAAGGAAAATAACCATAAGAGTACCACAAACAACTCCAATAACTGTATACATCCATGGGCTGACTTCAGTATTCAATGTGGACAGCTTCTGTTTCGACTTTGAAGCATCCGTTTGCTAAAATTTAAGCAAATATGACGATAAACTAGAATTACTGGAACGGGCCTATTTTTCCATGGTAAATTAATCCACAAAACACAAAATGTATCGCAAGTTAAGACAAGAACAAATTGCAAAAGTGTCAATGATGATAAGCGCTGTACTGTACTGTACTGCACTGCACTGCACTGCACTGCACTGCACTGCACTGCACTGCACTGCACTGCACTGCACTGCACTGCACTGCACTGCACTGCACTGCACTGCACTGTACTATACTGAAGTTTACTGTACTGTATTCTACTGCAGCGTACTGTAGAATACTGTGGTGCACTGTAGTAAACTGGATTGTACTGCAAAGCAAGTACTCATGTCACAAGCATGTTAATAGAAGAGACCTACCCCGGACCCACTGCCTCCGTCCCCATCACCAGCACGACCTTTTCCCGTAACAGTCACCAGCGTGTAGTGATTGCTCGCGGCCTTGGTTGTTGTGGTGGGATAAGAGGGAGTCGATTGCATTGCTCTTTGGCAAATTCCATTTAAATTTTGATATCCCTTATTGCATTTACACTTCATGAATCCGTGGGGGCCACTTGGAAGACAGATTCCATTTGTGCAACCTGTTGCTGACGTACACTCGTCAGCTAGACCAAAAAAGAGAATTATTCTAAACGGCTGGCCTTTTCTGTTACAAAGTGACGTGAGTAAAAACAATGGTCGTTATACTCCAGCTCAGCAGTGTAATAATGCTAGACTTTAACAAAAGAAGGATGTTTTACACACAAAATCTTAGAGGTTTTCCGGTATCTAAAATTCAATCTATTCAATCTAAGACCTGAAAATTAAAAATTACTAAGACTTTGATTATATGATTTTCTTAGGGTCAATATATCATGTTTCTTTCTGTTATTAAATGTGTCTCTACAAGAGTTCAAAAAAATAAAACTAGACGCCCACTTATATTAGCAACAAAAAAACTTCGTCAGATAAATTTTTGGTTGATAAACTTCGTCGAAAAGAATTTCAGACAACTTTTCAGAATTTCGTCGTGACAAAATTTTGTCGTGGATATTTAACACAAAGATAGCAACATATTACCACAATCATAGAGGCAAAATCTTTGAGCCAGATCTTGCCAATAGGCAAATCAAATACTTTTGTCTATATGCAAAAAGTAAGGTTGAGAAGGATTACCTTGGCACTCTTCCATGTCTACAAACTTAAAGCTTTGTATAATTGCACTGGACACTGGTATCTTCAACCTGATACCTTCGATTATGATCTATAAAAAAACCGGCAAATTTTAGAGCTTTTCACCTAAGCATAACACTAGGTGTCCTCTTTTTATCGTTATTTGACCTAGATTATACAATTTTATGCGCTCCAATACTGGTATTTCAGAATAATAGCGCTTTCCTTTATCTTCGAGTTTGGGCTTGTCCAAGAACATTTTCTATAAACACTAGAGTGTCTTTTTTATTGACGTAGTACCTAGGTTCTTGTCTAAAACGTAATTTTATTGACGTACTACCTAGGTTATTGACGTAGTACCTAGGCCATTTCAAACCTGAAAAAAATTTGGTTCTAAAACACTAATCGGACTTATTCCTGTCTAAGTTTATCATCTAACTAAGAAATCAGAAAAAATCTCGCATTGAACTTGAATGAACAGTTCTGTGTAACATATATAACAGATTTAAGGCAGTGCTGAAAGTCCCTCTTGCAGAACATAGAAAAATTCATGCCTTCATTTATTATCAGAAAATTTTTGAACAATTTGCAAATTTTTTTTGCCAAGCGCGTTTTAATAAGGGAGAGTTTTAAACTTGATATGGTTATGTACCTGCTGAATGGTTTTCATTTGTTTGTGGGCGCAAAGCAGCACGTTTTGGAACAGAAGAAATCACAGTAGATTTGCAAAATTTTATTAGTTTTGATTTGGTACCGCGGTTGCCAATTCTTTCCGAGAGGAGCACGTAATCGTGGCTCGTCGCTAGCCTTTTGCAATGAAATCAAAAATTGTGTCTTAAATATATCTCTGGCATAAACATAAGTGAAGATTTGTTTGCAAACTCTTTTTTGAGACACTTTTCATGTTTAATCGCTGATAATTTAAAAAAAAACGACAAACTGAATCCTCCTCAGTTTTAATCTAGAAGTCGAATTTGAAAATAGCATGACTGGTATCAGTGTGAACAATGTAAGTTAAGATTTATAAAATCGCTCCCTAGTTGAAACCGCTGTTCCAACTGGGCGCTGGAACAGGATTAACAAAAGTAGATTGCTTGACGTACATATTTATAATTTAAATAAAGTTTTAGTGCCGCAAAATTCGAAGATGGCACGAAATGGCGGAAACATGTGCACACTGAAACATTTTTTGTATATTTCTTACTTACATTCGGTCAGTATCCGACGCTTATACTCTGGAGATTGTCGGACGATAAGTGCTTCAGTATGCATCGCATCTGTGCATCGCATCAAGGTTACAGTATACAATAAAAAATCTGCTTACTGTTTATATTCAAAATGTGATTTTCACCTTTTAAAAATCCTACGTGTTTCAAAATCCAAAGACTTATGAAAATATAAGTACGTACCTGAAAGTTGCTTGAAATATCAATTTTGATGTCCTTGTTGGTGGCTGCGTGCTCATTTTGACTGATAAGCATGACCTCTCTTAAAACTGACACTTTGTCCTGGGCGTTGTACGACTTTGTAGATATTCTTAACGCTGCATACAAAAATAACTTATAATTCAGCCGGAAGCAAATCTGGTTTCCAGGAAATCCATAAGCCGGACTTGTAATTGTGGCGCTTCCTTGACCGTACCCTTGCTTTAACATCAATGAATAGCCTGCAAGACAACGTGGACGATTTCACGTTAGAAAAATCTTCCTTTTATCACACGACATCTGGCATTATGTTGAGGTTTTCAACACAAAAGAAAAACCACAAGTATGGCGAACTTTGCATAACTCGAACCGGTTGGGCCTTTGAAAGGTCTTCGACTCGAGCGGCGCTTGCAAATCATCTATGTCTTTCAAACAACATCAAGAAAGCATACCTCCAATTACTTGACGAGGTTTTCCTTAAAACAATTAGATTCAGGTCTGGATAAATGTTTCAACATATGTGTAGAGATTGTGATAATAAATGATGTATATTTGTACAAAACGATTTTTTACAAAAAAACTAGAAAAAAACTATCGTACTTCCTCTAACAAAACAAGTGCCAATCCCCCTTTAAGTGCCAAAAAACCCCCAGCCCCAATTTTGCTTAGTTTGAAATTGTGCCCCCTCTATTATGCAGCCAGTTCCATTTTACAGAATTTAGCTGTTTTCAAAAATGAAGCTGTTTCTAGATGAAAACATCGACATAGATTTAAAAATTAAACTTGAGGATTTTCCGTAGATTCTTTTATTTATGTTAAGTTTACAATAAACTTGCTAAACATAAAACCATGAATGGCCCTTTGACTCCTTGAACTAATAGCAACAACCCCTTGAAGAACCTGTTAGGCTTAGAGGACTACAGTGCATTTATACCATCGGCATTTATAGCATATTAACAGTGTCCCAAAATATCAACATTTAGCAAGCATTCTGGGAAAGACAGGAAATTCAAAAAGAATTTCAGAACTTGTAGTGTGAAGACGGCATTTATCAAGTAGGAAGAATTGCTTATAAAAGATCTTGATATATAAAAGGAAAATGGAAACTCTGTGTATATGAATCTAATCTGTTTATATTAATTGCAATTTTCGCAAAGAGTTTAATTGAAATATAAAGATAGATCAATTCAGGCTTGCCAAAAACAGTGCCTTCCTACAATGTTCAAATATTGGCCCTAGCAGCAGAGTACAAAACCGACTTCTCCTCTGGCCATAAAAGCTTAAATTCTTTGGAAAAAAAACTTCTGTTACAAAAGCATTTCTAATTAGACGTCTCTATTCAATTGTAAATTATAATGTATTACATTTACATATGGACCTTACAATATAATAAACAAGGTCGCAAGAAATTTAAAACCCAGTAAATTCAAAAGTGTTTGGTTACAGCCAAACTCAAGGATTTCTTTGAAAAAAGAATGCTTTCAAAATCTAGGCCAATTTCTCTTGGGCAGACAAACGGTTCACTCTGTGATAAAAGTAACGAAAGTAAAATTCTCTCATTCAGAGATTTAGACTGCCATCATAAGTTTAAAGTCAATGAGCCAAGCATTGGCCAATCAATAATCATGCGAGTTGCATTATGCTTAATGATTGGCCAATGTTTTGTTGACAGATGGTCTAAGCCCCTTTGGTATCTATCAATCAACTTTAAGAATCTGATTTTAATGAGACGCCTTCCCCTGGCTAATGCATAAAGAAGCTGAGCTGGCATACCAGTAGCAGACGTCTTCTTGAACTCCCATGGTATGGATGAATTCTTTGATAAAGACCAGCCACACATATCTTTTGGATCCACATTGCACGACACTGGCAGTTCGTCCAGAGAAGAAATTTCTGTTTAAAAGAAACAAATTTCTATCAAGCATAACTCGTAGGAGAACGATTCATTAGAAGACTAGTACAGCACCGACGTTTTTGATTTTGCAAATATTGGGGGTTGATGTTTTTTGAGATCTGAAATTATCGTAATTATTTAAGGAAATGTTTTGCCGTATAGGTATATATCAGTAGACGTCAGCAAACTTCAAACTAACATGCCTGACATACATTAACAGCAGTCAGAATAGATGCCTTATCTTAATTATAAAACGCTAAGTGGAAACTTGATGCCTCGTGCACTATCATGTCCTACCTTGTCTTCTTCACATGTCATGTATGTCTTCATAGTAAACGTAAAATAAAATCACATGACCTTATAAGGTACCACGATAGACAAAAGACATAAGGAAAACGGATATAGTTACCTTCAATTCTGCAACATTTTCCGTATTTAATGACCGAAAATCCACGATACCCATACAATCCAACAACAGCCCAACCCTCCGGGCATTCTTGTGACCAGACCATTCCAGGATCTCTTGTTCCACCTTGTTGCTTTGATAAATCAAATCTTTTGCAATTCTTGTAATCGATGCCATGATCAATCAGAGCAGAGCACTTCATTCCAGCAATGCGTTGGTCATACTGTCTATCCTTAACTATCTTAATACCTGAAAGAATTCAAAATGGCCTTTTTATCTTACTTCAGGCTGCCTTTGTCGCTACTCAAAGTCATTTGGTCAAGACATGTTTTAAAGCTTTGCATTGCATAATGTAATACGCAAAACTCATTGCGAGAGAAAAATTACATTTAATACCTCAAGCGTAGATACTAGCATAAATGAGATATAGAGTGATAAATTCCCCATAACATTTTCCAGCATAGAAACTATTTAATATCGCTAACAAATAATTACATATCGCTTACATATAGATAGGGCAGAGACGAGAGCCGCAATTCGGTGTATAGAAGTGCCGCGAAAGAAAAAGGCTGCTGTGCAGGAGACTGCTGTGCAGGAGACTGCTGTGCAGGAGACTGCTGTGCAGGAGAATCGTCTTTGGTAGCAAAAGTTTAGCGAGCGATAGAAGTGGTACCAACGTCAATGTGCCGGGGACAGACGTTTTATTAACTAAACCCTTTTTGCAGATTTGCAAACAGATCCAGGAGAAAATCAAAGCAAAAAGACATATTCCGTGACATCGGTTTTCGCCAAAAGAAATGCAAGCAAACGTGATCGTATGATTCTTGTAAAAACAATAGAGCACTGAAGTGATGACGTCACTGAAATCTAATTTTAGGAATTTTTAATATCGATCCCATAACCTGAAAGAGCATCATTAAGTACCACATCATATGCAAAATCAGTATAAGGTATTACGAACCGGCAGAGGTATGGCCACATGAGCACAGGCTCTTGCCTCATCAATCCTCTGTAATTTGGTCTTGGTTCATAACTTTATGAACCAGGCCAGAATAACAGCGAATCGTAGCAATCAGTCTTTTACTGGCCATATCTTGCCCAATTTTTGAACATATCTAAAAGATTTTGCCTATTGAGAGGTATTTTATGCCGTTCTTTCAGATCATTTAGTCAAATTTAAGAAATCCATCAAAAAGACTTTTGACGATGTCACACTGCGGTACTCTATAACCCGCTCGACGTGATTTGTTTATAGTTTTTAGTTTTGATTGGGCCGTGGTAGCTTGGTGAAGGACTTTAGGGCTGTAGTGGAGATGGGGGGCTGGCACCCAATATTATAACATTCCAGGTTTTCAAGATAACGATAGCAAGGGTTTTCAAATTACGACTTTATTTTACACTTTCATTAAAGCTTAAAAGACACCCAAACTTTTTCACTAACACGGAAAGTTTGGGGTATTTCGCACAAGATTAGTTTAGCAATGAACAGTTCTGGTGGCTAGGCCAGAATTTCGGCTCCAAAACAATGATTTTGTTCGTAATGATTTTGAGTGTAATGTCTCTATTGCATCGTTTTAGGCCACTGTGAGATTGTGATGCAGTCGTTTTTGTTCTACTGGACGGGATCGTTCGACTGGGCGAATTGCAATCTATCACAAGACCCGACCACTTTTAAACAGTGTCTTGTTCATATCAACCATTATTCTGTCACGTGTACGCCTTACCGCGCAAAAATTAGCATACAACAGTTGAGCCCCATGTATCTTATTGCGGGATACTGTTTCACATGTTACCAAAACCGTACGTGTATCATTTCTTGTTTGACAATCATACACACAGTATAACCTTGTAATTAAATAGACTAAACCTTTGCAATGTGATCGCAAGTTTGGATCCAATAAAATGAGATGGAAATCTGGTATATGTTTCAGAAGAGCATTAAAATAGTTTTGCACGTTCTCTTGCAATTTTATGTAAAAATATAGCCAAGGAAAACCACCGTTTTCAAAGCGTTAAAAAACTAATTTCACTATTCGTTGGAAACTGCAGAGAAAAGGCGGTGAAGATTTCACTGTCCTTTAAAAAGTTTAGTTGGATAATATGGCAAAGCGGGAAGGGATATTGCTGGCGGGGATGTTTTAAGGGTATGAAGTTAGATGGTAATTGACTATGTCGTGTTTTAAAAGCACCAATCAGTCAAGCAGGGTTTTTCTTAGTCCCCGCAGCAAAACGCGTATTCTCACTCACACTTTCAAAGAAAAGATGCTTTATAGGATCATACCAGTCAAAACGTGATTATCAGAACACTGCGCCCTCCATGTCTCATTAACGCCACTTGGTCCGTTTTGTTTTGTGCTGAAATCAAACATCATCTCTGATAAAACCTGATCGACAGAAGCTTTGCAGCATTTCATATCTTGCACCGTTCTGTTTAAATCTGGTGCCCACAAACCAACAGCTACAGTGCCTGTCATAAAGAAAACAGCATCGCGAATTGTTAATTACGTAGAATGTGCGGTAATGTAAAAAGTAGAGATAATAGATTCAAAAGTAAACTCAACTGCTGCAAATAACAAACAAGCATAGCCTAATATGAGATTTTCAGACAGGTTTTGGAAAGCTCTATATCATGTCATTTCCTCAAGAAGAGTTTCTCAGTAGGCAAATATGACTGGGCCTACAGGAATATGACAGGGCCTAGTTCAAGTTTGATGCTTTGCTTCTAACAACCTCTAAACGATTAAATCAAATCCTGAAAAAACACAACCAACAGATCGTTTGAGTAGAGTTCCACAAAAATACATGATGAGAGTAGCTATATCAGCGCTCTTCCATTGTGTAAGGCAAGAATTACGCAGAAGGGCCTCTAATTTCATCTGGCCTAGTCTCTGCAAAAGAACTGGTAGAAAACCATATCACCTTTCTAGAAAGATGAGAACATTTGAAACAAAACCTTGCTATATGATAACTACCTGCCAAAAAGATGAGATTGATCTTGCTTTAAACATTAATCTTTTGAGCTGGTAGTTTTCAAGTGAACAAGAAATCATGTTTCTGCTTGGATTACAAGATCTGCTCAAAAATTGTAGAGATCAATGTCTTAACTTATCAGTGTCTATGACCCGCCTTTCAAATCTTGGGAGTCTGCAGCCCCCTCATTTCAGGACAATGGGAGCTTTTCATGGCCTTGATCCTTATGAACATTGTGTCCTGTGCTACACTCATTTTTTACAAGAAACAAAGGTCGATGTTGAGTTCTCCATTTTTTTAATGTTTGAAATTTCAATACTCGTTGTTTCTTAAGAGTTTCTTAATTATAATGCCATAATGTCGTATGGAATGTTCGTGACCCTTTTTATCAAGTCAAGATATTCGCTTCCGTTCTGATGCTATATTTAGATATGGCAAGTATATTCTTATCCTTTGTTTCTCAAGTTCTAGGCCAATAGGGCAACTATGTGCTTGGATTTTACAAATTTTCGTTTTTTCAGTTTTATCACGATTTTTTAATTTTTTGCTTCGAGTACTGAAGTTTCTTACTTTTTTCCGACTGTCCAGGACTCGTTTCTTATAGCCAGCTTCTTATAAAAAATGAGTGTATTCTTAATACAGTGCAAACATTAAGAAATAGGTTGAACCTTTGTGCATTATAAAAAGAAAACCAAACAGGTTATAAAAAGACGTGGAGCTAAAATTAGTAGCAAACCTTCTGGACATTGATTTTTCCATCTTGCTGTCCAACCTACTATCACGTCAGGGTCTTCGGCAAGAGAGCTGGAAAACCTGTAGCAGCTCTTCCCATCATCACCTGCTAAATTACCCTTTCCTTTCTGATCTACAACTCCACTTTTAACATTTATGATGAATATTCCTAAAATGACAATAAACACTTGTTAGTTTAGCGATATTTTATTCTGCAATACCGTTCTCGAGATACGGATCCAAGTGTGGTGTAGTGCATTGCCGTGAAATGGCATCATATAAAAGATGTCTGATGGTTTATAACAGAAGTCCTGAAGTTTTGAATATTATAGCACTCGGCCCTCTTTCTGTGTTTGAACTGATTCAAAAACTATCAGTTGCAGGATGAATACCTTTTCCTTAGTAACGATACAGTGCTGTTTAGAAACTCTAATATTCCTACGAAAATTCTACGTCGAATTTCACAACCTCTGAAAATTCTGTTGGCGATGATTGATAATAATAATAATGATTAAGGACTAATGAAGATGATGATTATTGCGATTTTTAATTGTGGTTGTAATTATTATTACATAGCTCCTGCTTTCCTAGGCGCCAAAATCGTTCTGCGCATATAGCTTGAACGGCGTGTGACAGCTACAGCGTCATAGAGAGTCACTCTTCTATAAGTAGAAACAGTTTCTCTACTGAGAAACATTTGGCAGCTTCTCGCAAAAAGGGAGGATGCTCTGTGAACATTGAAACTGCTTCAAGGATAACAGCTTTGTTATGAGAATTGACGTTTTCAAAACAAGACGCACCCGTGTTTTGAAGGCTTTTTGCGACATGTTAAATACATGCCTTTTGGCTATAATCAGCGTATAAGGAGAAAGGGACATTGCTGACCCTCCTGCTCTCTACAAAATCAACTCAAAAATGTTTCCCTCCATTAATTCCTTGAAATTAAAATAATTGAAACCGCACAGATTCCATGGTCAGGGAATACGATATCATTCGTTAAATAGAAGGTCCTGGTGTCGCACTGCAGTTTATCTCTTGAAAACATTACATGGGAAAAAATGGTTTCTCGCGTTTCCAAGTTGAAACGTGTATGCAATTTGAATCTCCTCACATGCTAAGGTTACATAACAGATAATCACTAGATTCATTTCAGTTCTCGGCGTAACAAGAGCTCTGCTGTGATTGCAAGAAAAGATCCAGGGATGTCCCTTTGTACCAGGAACATTTCATATACTGAAATCACACAATAAAATCTCGGGCTTGAACGGCCAGGAAATGCTAGAGAAACTGAGCTGCTTCTGGGATGATCTTTAATTTTCAGCAAAATCATTGCAGAACCTGTAAAATTCACCCAAAATTCAATAATAGCCGTCCTTTCCCTATAAAAATTTTGCTTTGTAGTTATCGTTTCTTCGTGATTGACTGAAAAGGTGGGAGGATAAGCTATGCTAAAAATTGAAAATTGTCTGCAAAATCTCGGTTATTCTTGCGAAGTTTTCAATCTAGTAGCCTCATCAAAATCAACCCAATCAGACAATTCAGGATCATTGCGCAACTGTCTTTTTTCATAGCATCCAGAATTAAAGACCACTGGCCACAATGAGTCAAAGGGCAACAGAACAATTGAAGATAAGATAAGCCAGGTTTCATCCAGCATTAGCCAAAGAACTCTTTAAATAAAGACTTAGAAATGTTAACAATCTGATTTGAATAATGACGAAGATAGTGAAGTTTTGAGAAAAAGAAGACAAAAAAACGACAATTGCACAAATTAATCTTAAGGGAACTGCATTCGAGTATGCTGCAATGAGATTTTTTGATTAGACAATGAGAAATTTGTAGCAAATATGAAACACCGCAATACGCCGAGAATAAACAACAATAAATACACGTAAATCAGTAAAGGCTAATATTTCGCCCCGGCATACGGGGCTTCATCAGAGCAAAAATGCCGGGGCGAAATATTAGCCTTTACTGATTTACGTGTATTTATTGTTGTTTATTCTCGGCGTATTGCGGTGTTTCATATTTGCTACATTTTTATCGACTTTTCGCCGCAAGAACTCCTTGGAGCCCGTCGAGCAGCCTGCTACAGTGACCTTTTCTTCATTCACACAATGAGAAATTTCACTGAAAAATAATTTTCGCAATTCTTATAATGAAACGAGAAAGAAGCTGTGTTAGGGTACAACCAAGCACAAAAATGCACCAAAAAAGCCATTGCACCTTTTGCCTGAACTCTGCTGGTGTTGTGTTTCAACTTTGTCATAAAATAAAGTTCTGGACGACCACTGCAAGATTCGGATCAATAGTACCTGAGGTATGGTATGTTTGAATACTTCTAAATGGGTTTCGACAAACCAAGAGGCGAAGTGACAGTAAATCAGCAATGAGAAATTTTGTGCACATCACACGATATGACAGTGTAGCCCTGGGCATACCGCTTTTTCGCTTCTCCTTTAATTTGCAAAATTGACTCAAGCATTCGGCTGCTTGCTGGACATGCAACCTTATCAGGGCCGCCGAGAGGGGCCAAGGGGGCAACTTAAACCCACGCCACGAAAATAGAATACATTTAATGTAACAAAACCATGCCTATAAATAACTGAAAGATACACTTTGAAATGTAATTTAAGTTTATGTAAAGGGCCTGTGCGCAACTTTTTTCAGTTTTGCCCCAGGGCTTCTGAAACCTTACAGCGGACATGACCTTCATTGCTTAATAGAGACGTGTAGCTGTTGTAAGATTCAAAACTGAAACTGGAAAAACGACAAAAATTTTAGATCTCGGTATACCAGAAAATTTCTTCAATGGCATAAGGCTGTTTTGGCCTTACATTTTCAACTGTTTATTAAGTCTAGATTTGACTGAGCCATCCCACGTGTATGCAATCATCGCGCATGCGCAATTATGGAAATCAGTAAGACGCTGTCATTCAGAGAAATAGTCTCCCCAACCAAGTGGCATACAATGGCAAGTCAATTTTACCAGTTAACTAGCAATTTTGCCGCCCAGTCAAAGAATTTACTAACGATTTTGTTTTTGGATACCAAAAACTTAGAATGTTATGAAGAAATTCACTCAAATAAGACCAAAGAACATACTGTTGAAGAATGGCAATAATATCATAAGTCTGGCTAAGAATATCTACGGGAGGTGGGTATTAAGGAGGTGCAAGCGTGCTAAAACCTCTTTTATGACAAGGTATATTCGAGAGGTACTTATGCAAGTTTGTTTCTACAGTGGCCCTACATCGCTGTTTAACTGCGAAAAGAAGACGATCAGCAGGTCGGCTTTACCAGGCTTAAGATTTTATGCTCCAGCCGTTTTACATATTAATGAAATCCTTGTTTTGTACAAAGACATGTGCTTTACTAAATATTGCATGGGATACAAGAATATTTAATAAGCAACCTAAGATGATGTTAGTGCAATCTGCAAGATTCACATCAGACACTAGCCCTTGGAGGGGAGGGGGGGGGGGGAGAAGGAGAGAAGAGGGAAGGGTCTTTAAGAAACAAGGAAAAGCCTTAAGTATTTAAGCAACGAACCTTCTTAGTATGTGCAACGAAGTAAATTACTATGCTAATAGACGATTGGTTAGAAAAATGTTTAGCTATTCCGCTGGACAATGCCCTTAAGACATGAAAGCCCTTCTGAAAAACAACAAAAAATCTGGATGTGGCACTTTTGTCCCTTTTGTTTTTATTTACCTCTCCCACGGCCTTTGATTGTGTGCCCGAAATGTTTTCTTGGGGCTGCTAGGCATGGCTTCAACATCAAGATCTCTATGAGAAAACGAGACATAAAAATGTCACTATATATTGCCATTCTTTGAATGTTATTGTGCACTGTGGTGTTTCTTGCTTCCTTTTTTTATCTTCTCTGCTGCAGGTATTCCTTCGTCGAGCAGTCCTCTGTTATGCCTGAGTATGCCTGAGTCGATTTTTGATCTAAAGGGTTCTGCCTATGAAACTTTACCTAAATTAACCGTAAATGAACCTCCCTTGGAAGATGGTTAACCCCTTTTTCATACCGGAGCTTGGAAGCAAATGCTTCTTAAAAGATTGCTTATACCCTAGTTCACATCTGACAGGATACAGTCATGGGAAAAGTTGTACCAATTTGAATGTTAACATTATGCTGGATAATTGATAATGTTAACAAGGAAAGTAAAACAGAGCCGACCATTCGGTATCACAACAAAGTACTTCAAGAGCATTGAAAAGCGCATCTGCTTCAAGAGCATCTGCTGTTGATGACAAGAATTCTGAATTCACTGACAACCCAAAAGCATGTTTTATCTGGTTTATATCTTCAGTCCTGCATAGCCGAAAGCCAAGAATGCGGTGTGTCCAAAAAATGACATTTCCGGTACAAAAAGCTGTTACATATATTTTTAATATGTATACCATAAGGATTACTTCAGGCCGTAGCGGCCATACCATTTGTTTTTGTCGATACTTTAGATCCCCGATTTTGTCTCCAATTATTATTTCTCTCGCTACGGCCCTAAAGTAAATCAAGTAGATTTTTCCGAGTACTTTGCATTTTTTGTTCAAGATAAAAAACTAGGAAGCAGCAAAGAGAAAGGCTAGCATTGTGTAAAGGTTTGACGGCGAAAATTGTTTAAGGCAGTGGGTGCTCTTGCACGGTCACCTTGCTTCTAGATACGAGCCCCCACTCGACTGCAGACTGGAAAAAAAGATCTTTATTTATATTTTATGCCAATATTTCCATTATATATTCCTTATTGATTCTTAATATTTATTTTCCATTTTGTTTCTAGCCCGCTTTCTGGAATAGTTTCACAGCCACAGAGATGCTTCGTGTTGCGAAGTGCATCATTCTCCACTTACCTAAAACCTGCAGTCAAAGACAGCTAGTGTTCAGCTAAACCAGAGCAGCAATTTCGTCTTTACCTTCCGGTATTTGTTTCACTACACTATTTTTTATAAGAACAATTTTATAAGAACGCGAGCCTCGAAACTGGTCAAAAGTTATAAACAAATTAACAAGCTGAGGCTGAGCTACTGTAAAATGCAAATTTGAAAAACGTTTTATTTAAAAAACGATGAATTTTAGCCATGTGTGGGTGCTTTTTCGGTGAATATTCAAATTTGTCAGCAAATTAAGGCTGTCCCACGCACTGTCTTGGCAAATGAGGCCTGAACACAACCCTAGAGCGAAAAAGCTAGCACTCGCACTGCTTACACCCTATTAGATTAAGAACAAATTAAGAACAATGAACAATCCAGCCTCAGATTTTCGAAAAAATTAGGAACAGCCAGCCTGAACATGAATTCACTGGTTCTTATAAACAGGTGTATTAATTCTATCGTCTTCTTAAACCTATGATCTGGCGTTTAGATCGGTTTAAAAAAATAAGACAATCTCAACCAATTTTTTTTCATGAGACGCCGACAATTTTTGCAGAGACTAAATGCTCTTCCTTTTTGGAATACAACAAAATTCCATGACATTTCTAGCATAAATTCAAATATACTGAACAAATCTACTCTAGTTTCCTAACATATACTAAAAAAATTTTAAGAAACAAATTGCTTTTTCTCATAATTTTCCATTTAAGGCTGAGCAGATTCTTATCTTCTTCTTATATTTTTTAGAATAAAGTCCTTGTGTTCTTATAAAAAAGAGAATGCAAATCCCAGCGAACAATGCAGCACATGACGACTGAAGAAGAGGACGCCTCATTCTTCCTCCAGACGAAATTTTGCCTTGATTGCCTTTATCAAATTTATTTGTATCTTTTGGTTGAAAATTTCTTAGTACTGGAAATGAAGTAAAATCATCTATGGTCTATTCTCAACGCTGTCAGGAAAAGAAAAGTTCAGCCGCAAGGGTAAATTCCTTTCACTTTTTATACTCTTGTCAAGTTATGCAATGGCCTTTCCAAAAATTCTTCAGTCCTGCAAAGCCGTGTCACACCCAAACTACGCCTTGTTTTAATTGCTTTCTGAGCAAGGTGTTCAGAGCCTAGAGATATTGCCCAGAGAAAAGTTGGACAGGCTCTGGACCCTGAACAAATGCATGGAAAATAAGTCGATGTATAAACTACTAATTCTAAACATTGAAATTTGTTGTTTTTCGACTTCAAATTCTTATGAATGCAGGTACTCGTGTAAGTTGCTTGGCCGTTTAAAAGAATTTTTCGGTTGTCGGGAGAAAGGCTAACAGAATGGTGTTACCTGGTGGTACGTCTTTGAACTATAGCTCGCCTATCTGATTAAAACTGTCATATCTCAACTGTATGACAAGTGCCCGTTGCCCTATAGAAAGAGCTGTCATTGGAAGAGGAGTTGCCTAACGAGCTGCTAACAAATTTTAGATGAAGCTAACAAAACTGTTATTTTAAAAAACCTTTCGTGATGTCATCCAGTTAGAAACGAAATTTAAACCACACTTAGACCGTGAAAGAAGCGCTTGGAATGAGCACCAAGGTATGGTCTATCGCTCGATCCTTTGGCCAACGCTTTGGAGTTCATCCCCGCAAAGAATTGTGGTATAGCTAGTACCATGTTGTAACATGAAATGTGCAACCCAATCTGCAATGGCCGAGGGAAAAAATAATGTCCTACACAGTAAGTAAGGAGTAGAAATTCCATAAGAGAAAACGAAAGCTTTTATTATCAAGCAATCAGGAGTCGCGTTCTTAATTGGGTACGAAACCAAAGCTATCTTTTTCAGCGCCTTGGCTCGTGAAGTAGGCTCTTGAAGGAAGACTGGAACCAGGAAGCTTGAGAGTGGATGATGGACATTCTAGTTCATTACGCGATCTTTTCTCACTAATATTGGAATAATGCTTTCATTTTCACTTCTGCCGCAGACAAAGGCAAACCCTTGTGGGGCAGCGGCAACCTGAAGCCAGCAGGGCTCAAAATAGTCTCAATCAAGTATCAAAAGCAGATAGGTTCGCTCAGTTGCATAGCAAAAAGTCCTTGCGAAAGCGTGTTAAGGTCTGGATAAGTCATTAATGTCTTTTGTATGGAATAAAGGACTAGAAGTCATGGTCAACAGGGATAAAATGATATAGCGTGAACAGGAGGTCCTCTCGCCGTTATATTTCAAAATCGACTTTTTTGGTTTTTTTTGGGGGGGGTGGGGGGTGGGTGGTGGCTGAGCCCATAAGCTCTTATATCATTAGATATCTGCTCTTTGATTATTCTTCAATCATAGGGATCTTGTCACCAAATTAGAGAAAATTCATACCCAATGAGTGGCATTTTGGTTCTGTTTTGAGAACTGGTATGGTTTATGTTGAGATTTTGAGGGAGGAAAAGGCATATTCAAAGTCTATTTAAAATTGCTAGAAAAATGGTACGGTATGATGTACAGGAAAACATTAGAGTAAGTAGGGTGCTACACGAAAACCACCTCTCTAGCTTTATTAGGATTATGATGTCACCAGAGCTGGCATAGTCGTAAAAGCAACTGTTCATTTTTATGCAATGCATGTAGTTATCCTCTTGTATAATTTGAAGCTTCATAAGAGATTTTAGTATAAAGATGTTCGATTGGATTGTAATGTGTGATGTATGACATTTTGTTCTGTACAAGTGCTGGCTCCTCAGTTACTATTTTTAAAAACGTCTCAAATTTCCTAGATGAAACTCAAGGGACCATAGTTGTAGAAGGCACATCCTGATGAACACAACCTGCGCTGAAAGATCGGTGATTGTATAAATAAAACTAGGTGGCTGCACACTACCATTTCAAGAGGCTGCCAGTGTGCTTTACTGACCCGAAAGTAACCATGCTTTGACTGTGATTTCCAAGCACAAACTTAACACCTGTAGAGAACACGAATCGTGAATATTATCCTTGCGTCATGTTAACAAACAAATCGCGATAAATGCCAACACAGTTACCTGCAGACTGCCTAAAGTTGACGAACTGAAACTCTCGATGCTAAAATTGCAGGACAATGCGGCAGTCACAAAACGTAGATTTCAAAACGTTGGAATAGGATGGGAGGTATTTTATACTCTGGAATTTATCATGCATATAACATGAAATTTGCACTAAAATACAAAGACTGCAATATATACGCGGTTCTTTGTAGGTATGGATCAAGGTATTAGCAAGCGTTACAGCGTATGTACAGCGCAAATACGGCTACTGTAAGTTGAGACCCGCGAATCTAACCCGTTTCTTTCGCAATAGTTCTGAAAAGAACGACCAACAGAGCAAATATGCAGAACACGAAAGCATAATGCACCATTAGAGAAAAACCTAAGCCACATGCCTGCAAAGAAGAATAAATTCTTATTGTACCTAGCGAACATTAGCTGTTTCAGGACTCGAAGCTGCACCTGGGTAAAGTCCCTCCAAACGCGGGGTCACAATTACCGGCCTAACTCCGTATGCAAAAACAGTGGTAGAAAGGTCCAGGAGAATGCAATCAAATCACTTACCTAATATAAGGGAGATGGTTTGTAAATGAAAAGCCATTTTTGCCCATTGTGGAGCAATAACTCGGCTGTAGAAGTCACCTTCCGATCGCGTAGATAAAGGAATCATGTTTTTAGTATCTTCTAATTTCACTTGTGTTCTCTTGGCATCGTGATTGGCAGGTGACAACATCTCAGCGTGCATCTCAGGGCGGCAACATGTAAATGTTTCCGGTGTTTGGACGTTGTAACGGAAGGTCGTCGGGCCTCGAGAGGGGTGTGTACATGTACAGAAATTGGTATAACAAAATTCCGGGAGGCTACATTCTGCATGCGAAAAACTACGTTCTGCATGCGTAAGACCAAGTTTTGCAAGTTATCAGGGGTGTAGCCTGGTCCCAGCGGACTCAGTCAGTTGGTCAAACAAGTTTGACAAACATATATCATGCGAATTTCGAAAAACTCTGAGGAAGAGGGGTCTGAAAACTGGAATTCTGGGACATAGAATCTTGAAAATAGGGTTGCTTTTTTATTCAGTTAGAGGAACCACAAAAGGCCACAAAAAGTGGAAGGACTTTACAGATAATTTTTTGGTAGTCTTGTTCTAATCTTAGATAAGAAAGTTAAGTCATTGTTTATGTCCTCGCTAGTTTGTACTCACTGCAGGCTATTATACACTCTTTCTTTATAAGAACCAGTAAATTTAAGCTCAGGCTGACTTTTCATAGTTTTTTTGAAAATCTGAGGCTGGATTGTTCTAAATTTGTTCTTAATTTTATAGGGTCTAAGCAGTGCAAGTGCTAGCTTTTTCGCTTCAGCGTAGGTCTTTTTTATTTCGGGTAGGGGTCTGTCGCGAGCATATTCAAATTGGTACCGTTGGCTAGACTAATTTTCACGAGAAATGTTACTCTTCTAGAAAAATTTCTACAAAAAAACAATACCTATTGCTAGATTCATTTACAAGCCAATCAATTTAGTAGACATCTCATTTGAAATTGGAAATGTCAAAAGTCGATTGGTTTCATTTACTAGTTTTTTTTATGAAAAAATTGATTGCCAAAATGAAATTCCTAATTTTTAAAATGATACTCTTACTTGGCTAGACCTCAGCTGGACCACAATTTTAAAAAGGCATACCCTTGGCTAGAAACTCGAAAAAGTATACCCATGCTTAGGGCAGATCCTGCCCCCCCCCCCTGCGTTTTAAAAACAAAGCTTATTCACAAAGTTAGATAAATACTTGATAGATTTGCCGTTAACCCTTTAATTCGGAGCGCCTTGATGATCTTTTTGTAAATGAAGTTAAAAATGTACCCTTTAGGTGACATATTTTGTATCTTCTGTGGTCTATCTATTGACAAAAAAAATTTTCTGTATGCAAGGTTCATATAGTTTGGTATCAGCTGCCTTAATGCACTTATACTGGAAATATAATCACTCATTTTCACAAACATAAATTCAGTGACGGAAATTTGGGCACAGGCCTACGATTTCATTTAAACTTATTTACACTCTATTTTTGAATAAGATTTTTATTAAGTTTTAAAAATTCCAGATTTCATTTATTAAAAAGAAAAGTTATGACAATTGCTTTGAAAAAAGCAAACATTTTTTTCGTCTGACAGAAGGAGTTCGTTTTCTCTTTTGGACTCCAGTGGTAATTTTTCTTTAGGCACGCGGGACTGATTGGTCAACTATACCGGTCTTGTGCTTGCGTTTTTCGAATTGGCCTATTTCGATCCACAACTGGGTGTTCTTTCGGAATCTCATTCTGACGTTTAATGCTATGAGGAGTGTGAGACGAAGAGGCTTTTTTGTATGTTATAAAATGTATTTTGTATACCAATATGTTGTGAAATGTTTGCTTTTTCAGAGTTCGTACCGCCAAAAAACTCTCCAAAAGTTATGAAATAAAAAAACTACACAGTAAAAATTTAGATATTTGTCATTCAAAAAATGTGTCCATGATTCGACGAAAAGCCCAAATTTTCCGTCGAGAAAGCTGATTGAGGGGCCAGAGCCACTCAGTCAATTTTTGCCATTTCATAATTTCATTATTTGATAAGTAATCATAAAAGGTCCACGAGTAGCGCTTCAACAACGACTCTTTACAGGATTTCACCAACCAAGTGAGTGCTTGTTGGCTCCATAGCTTTATATGCTGGCAAAAATGTAAACAACATAAAATATCATTTCATTTCCTGGGTATAAACATGAATGCAAAAAAAAGTCAGAAGAAAATCAAGGTACTATCATTATTGTTAAAACAGGACTACTTCAAATGGATTCTCTTTCTCGTTTTTATCAAATTCTCTTAAAATCGTTGCAAAACATAAACAAGTTTGCCAGAGGATACCACAGGGAGAAAGGGAAATGCATAGCAACCCTGTGGCAATTTACAATCAACATATAAAACTAAATTAACTACAATTAGAAGATGCGGAATGAGCGGAAAAGAATCAACATAAACTACTTGAAAATGATTTTTCAAAGCCAGTTTCAAGTTTTGTACCACCAAAAGATTGTTTAATTAACTATTTCAAGATCGAAGAGATAGAGAAATAATGTTGTTTGCACCATCAATTTATTCAAAACGTTTAGAGACCTGGATATTTAGAGACAGGAGGGTGGAAAATAGAAGAATAAACATATTGATAGGGTTCTTACAGATTTATTGAAAGCCTTTGATTTTCTATCTTTTGTAGCTAGAATACGTGCCTATAGAGTAAAAGTTACTTCTCGTCTACTTATAAAAACTATTTGTCCAAAATAAATCAAAAGTCAAAATAAAAGAGCACTAGGTCACTTTAGGTGAACCTTGGCAAGTTGCATCACAGGGATCAATACTTGGTTTTCTCTATTCTTCAATATTCTTCTTAACGATATTTTCTTAGCCTGCGTGCAAACTTTACTTTCCGTTGCGAAGGAGAGCAAGGACGAAGGAGAGACAAGTTCCGTATTGGTTCTCCTTCGCAACTGAAAATAAAGTCAAAATAAAGTCTGCACGCAGGCTATATTTTCTATGACCTCAGTAAAATGAACATAGGTACCTTACAGCTTTGCTATAATTTAGATTGACGAAGCTTAAAAAAATACTGATGTCGATAAAATCTGTAAAAAATAACAAACGATTAATTCCTTTAAATAGATTAACGAGATATATGGATAACAAGAAAAATAGCTAATTTTAAATTCTTTTAAACTATGTCATATCAATTTTTGCCCTTTGATTTGGATGTTATACAGCAAAGAATACCAGAAAAAGCTAGAGTTAATTAACGGTTGTTATTAAGAATAGCTTTCCATACTTTTCTTCGAACGAAAATATCCTTGCCAACCTTAAATGTAAATTTTAAAAAATATTCAGTTAATTTGGCATATGTTTTTAAAACTCTAAACTTAGTCTTAGTCATGAAAAAAATCAACGATATTCTTATGATGGAGTAGCAAGGAACTTTCCTTTACTCAAACAAGACTTAAGACTATCTGTCTAACAGAAAGCAAAAAGTCAAAGCTAAAGGACATTACAGCTTCTGGATTAATCCATAACAAGAATAAAACAAGGAGCAACACTTGCACCATTTAACTTCAGTTCAATTCATCTGTAGGATCTTTATTCAATTTCATTAATGATAACGCAATATCTGTCATTATTACAAAGTAATAGGAGCCATTAACATTAACAAATGTTGGTTTAAATCAAAAACAATGATTTCAAATCTATCTAAATCTATCACGATTAACAACACGCATTAGGCGAGTTTGATCAAAATAGACAGTAATGCTGGTTTGCTGAGGATTTGCACTTTTTATACTTGTTTTTATAAGATCTGTTAAAACAGCTTACCAGTTAATTTTTGAGAAATTAGAAAGACATAGTTTGGGTGACAAAGTGAGAAATATATAACCTTTAATTGCTTTATACTATGTCATTTCAATTGTTTCCATAACTATGGATATTATGTGGGCAAGTAAGCCAGGACAAGCAACAAAAAATTAATGAAAGTTGAGGAGGAATTAACCAAGTAAGCCTGCTCGTACTATTGCACTTTTCGTCTTCCTACAAATACGTTCTTGCTAGCTCCAAAGAAACTACCATGCATATATTGATTAAAGGGCATTAAGCCATCAATTAACTCAAAGAGGAAATACCGTAAAGCTTTTTATTTCCCAGAAGACTTCTAAGGGGCTTAAGCCTTTCAATCAAGAATTGACCAATAAGTGACTGTGTGTGACTCCACTCACACGCTTATTGATTGGCTAAAGTTGATCGACAGGTGGTTCTAGAATGTTTATACTTTCAAAATTGTTCTTGCCACCAGCCATAGTGTGCCCTGTGCCCTTCATGAAAACCCCTGAAACACGTTAAATAGAACCCCCTCCCACTTTCAATCAGGTTTCGGTGGCCCTGATAGGGTTGTACCATGGGCATAAATTATCTAGGGGGCGCCAAAAAAGATTGGTGCCCCCTAGCAAACTTTGAGTCACCACGCCACTGGATGTTTTTAAAGCAAATGATTTATAGTAAAATTGGCGACTTTAAAAAAATTATCGTAGGATTCGCAGTATCTTTGTGTGAGAGTTTCACGCCATAGTTGTTCTAAAATCACACTTTCGTGTATTTTATAGGTCTTGAGAACTTCCGTGTTTCATGGCCTTCGTGGGGATTTCCCTTTGTCACGAAACCCACATAGCAAGAATTTATCTCATATCGCAAATACATTCAAATCGTTCTTCCAAAAATGGAAAGCAACCGACTGATTTTAACTCTGGAAGATGGAAGTGTTGACGATTTCAGTATTCTCAGTGAGCTAGGAAGTGGTTCTTTTGGCGTCGTCCGCAAAGTTTGCGGTCAAAATGGACGAATTTATGCATTGAAAATCGTAACATCTGATAGAAAACAACACCACAAATCTGCAGTGCAAGAAATACGATGTCTCCTGTCTCTAAGGCACCCAAATATAGTCAAAATTTACGCCACTGATTTTCAGTTAGACTCAAGGTCAGTGCCGAAAATATACATTCTGATGGAGTATTGTGGTAGTGGAACACTAAATGAAAGATTGAATATTTCAACATCAGATGAGCTTGACTTAACATGGATGGTGCAGGTTGCAGATGCTATTAACTATTTACATGAAAACAGTATTGTGCATCGTGATCTCAAGCCAGATAATATTCTCTTATCAAATGAGATGGATATTAAGGTTGCAGATTTTGGTCTTGCAAGAACATTTGATGGTTATATTAATACTTCAGGAGCACCATTTGAGAGTCACATGGGATCTTTGGCTGGAAGCCCCTTCTGGATTGCACCAGAAGTCTTTTCACAAAATTATACAGAAAAAGCTGATATATTTTCACTTGGTATAATTCTGTATAGCATTGTGCAAAGGCAATACATAGTGGTTGCTGGCAAGAGGTATTATGGGGCATTTACCAATACTGGTTTAGCTAAACTTAGTGTTGGACAAATGATGGCATCTGGACAAGTTAAAAGTGCAGCAAAACTTGTTAAAGGTTGGGAGAAAGGCTGCCAAAGAGCCATTAAAGAATTGATTCTAGATATGCTGGACTATGAGCCAAAAAACAGGCCAAATGCAACTGCAGTTTATAAGACTATCAGATCAGTACAAAAGGAATATTTCAAAAAAAGACTTCTTCAGAGTGACAATGAAAACATTCCTGGCTCTGATTGTTTCTGAATTTATTAGAATTGCAGTTTAAGGAAAGTTCTTTGGTAGTGGCACTTGAAGCAAAGTAGCAAAGATCATAAAAATGTAGGTAGAGTGGAATTAAGAAAAATGCAAACAAAACCAAAAAGGTCAATGTATTTAAAAATGATAAAAAACAAAAAAGGGAAACCTTTGGCATTTGCTTTGGCTTCTTCAATGGAAGGATGAAAAATAATAGATACATAAATACTTAATATATCTATATATAAATATAGATATTATTCCAAATTTGTATCCACTTGAAGCCGGGCATTTAGGTATACTAGGCCTTTCTTAGACACCAATTCCTAGTTCTTTTAGAGTGCAACATGTTTGAAGTAATATCTAGGACAAGCTTGTCAATTGTACAGGCATCTGAATCCCTATCATTTTATGAAAACAAAATGAATACATTATGATGAATTTTGGATACAGATAATGAATTTTGATACATAGACAGAAATTTTCCAATGTAAGCCTCCAGCAGAATGAGTATCCAAAGTTGAATGTGTTTGAATCATGAAGTTCTAAAAAATTTATCTAATGCCAATTTCATTTGACAGTATGATAATAGTTTTATGGAGTGCTGTGCATTTGACATATTACTTTAGTGGATTATACAATTATAGAATGTACTAGTAGACTATATTATTCTTAAGTCTTTTCACAACACACTGATGCTTGAATCAAATCAGATTCTGACGTATATGTGTAGCCACAAAACTCAGAGAATGAACACCTTTTGGCATTGTCTGGTTTCTGTATCAAGTATTTACATAGCAGAGTTGACAGGATTGGGCTTGTGTAATTTTCTGCACGGGCCACTGGTACTAGGGAGGACCATAGGGAAGATCAGAAATAAGTAAAAATATTTACAATGCTGGTTACATCAGTCAATGGAAGAGAGCAGAGCAAGAAATTATTATTCTTTTTCTAATATTTTTTAAGTTAAATTAATATCATCTAAAAAGGTCCTAAATCATATTCACTACCAGGACAAAAGTATTGAGAATCGAAAGACAGTAACACGAAGTTTTGTCACAACTACACACTCCTTATCCTGTTAATATTTTGATTTTACCACGGCTGATATTTTTCCTCATGACTGTAAAATTTCTTACGTTAATATTGTAATTTTAAGTATTTCGAAATCCTTAATAAATTTCAAAGAATTTGATTCCTGGTTTAGCATGATTTTGTTAATTTTAGGGAAATGTTTCAGCGTAAAGTTATAAGTTTGAAACATTTTTTTGGATTGCATTTTGATTAGGGTGTTGCAATACTTTTGTCCTGGTAGTGTATGTGCAAAGTGCAAAAGTGTAATTGCTTCTGTTAATTAACTTGGGTTAAAAAATGTGCAAAATAGTGCAATGTATAGTGCAATAGTGCAAAGAGCATCTTGAGTAAATCTTCTTCGACACAAGTTGTTTGTGCAGAAATTCGAAAGACATTAAGAGGGCCAGGTCGAAAACGCGGAAAACGCGGAACACGCGGAACACATGGAAAAGTGAAATTTTGCTTGAAGCTTCTGGAATGGAAAGACATAAAAGCAACAAAGCTCTTTCAAGAATTGAGATATAAGACCTTATTTTTAAAGGGCGGAAAACGCGGAAAACGCGGAAACCTTTAATAACCAATTATATTCGCTAATTTGATGGCAAGAGAGGTATATAATGAGTTATTAAGCCTTTGACGATTAACAGAGATTTTGTGGCTGCAAGAGCAACAACGCAGTTTGTCAAAAGCATCTCTTACGTTGGCACAAATCTTCCACTTTTTTCACCGGTTAGACCAGTAAGGTAATGATGAAATGTCCGCGATTTGTTTTCTTATCAAGCACAAACAAAATTGTGTAGGAAAACCCCTCGGGAAATCGGCTGGGACCGATTTCCGCGTTTTCCGCGTTTTCCGCGTTCTCGATTTTCACCCTCGTTAGAAATCGAAAATGCGGAAAACGCAGAATTATCATTCCTTTTAAAATAAGGTCTTATATCTCAATTCTTGAAAGAGCTTTGTTGCTTTGTTTATGTCTTTCCATTCCAGAAGCTTCAAGCAAAATTTCACTTTTCCGCGTGTTCCGCCTGTTCCGCGTTTTCCGCGCCTTCCGCGTTTTCGACCTGGCCCATTAAGAGATAATAAATCTCAGTCTTCTGCCGCCATGTGAAGAAAACACAAGGCTTCATAGCCTATGTGGAAACTAAATCTCTATGATTTTCAAAGTGGTTTGATGCTTCAGTTGAGCTTCCTAGTAGATAAATCATGGTTGAAATGAATGAGGATTCTATCGTCATAATGGTACTTGTTACCAAGAACATACCTTGGAACTTTCGTTAAGCCAATCTGAAGTAAAAAAGAGCTTTACGCTTAGAGTGTCGTGTGCAGTGACTCAGAAGACGACCTCGAGGAACTTTGAAACGATTAAACTATGGTTTAGATGATCCGGTTGTTTTTTCGGTTCTTATTTATCAGTTAGTAATTAATAGCGCCACGTAGTTCCTTCGGACGACAATTCAACAATTTGTCCGAACAAAGAATATATCAAGCTTTTTGGATGTCTATTTAAGGATAAAAAATTTTAAGATTACGCGATTTTCTTGTGAAAATGGGGCTTTTGGACCCCTTATCAAACTATAATTCAATTTTAAGCATTAATGCGCAAGAAATGTGCTTAATTAACATGAAGACTTCCACTTATTTCCATTTAAACTGTTTTTGTCAGTGACTACTTCCATATACGCAAAAACGAGACTTCAAACACGAAAAAGAGGATGGTAGCCCCCAAATCCCCGTATAACATCGATTTTCGAAATCAGCACCCTCGAATTGACCAAAAGCACCTGGTCCCTTAAATTTCGCTTTCGGGCGACCATTCCCCTATTCTCCGCCTGGTCTATTTTAGCAGTGCTCGAGTTAGCCTGTGTCCCAGACCTCTAACTTGAAAGTAGTTAGGGGTCTGGAGCACAGGCTATGCTCGAGTAAGCATTACATTGTGTCTTGTATACGGTCAAAGCAACAAGCACGCAAGTGTGCATTGGCCTTGGGTATATAAATTTTATGTTGGCATAGTTTCATCTTCACACCGTTACAAGACAACTTGAAGTTGGACTATGGAGAGCAAAGGTTTTTCCTTTGCGACCCTGCCCATCCAACCAATCTCTAGGTATTCTAAGGTTTTTACATGCATGTTAACTTTCTATTTCTTTTCATCGTGCATTAATTAATGGCCGTATAGCTTGGAACTTTTGCATGAACAAGGTGTTGCTAGTCGGCGGAAGAAGGTCATTGTTTCTTCTTCTCAACCCCCTAAAAATGGTTGGGTTCCATTTACGGGCGTCTTTGCGATTAGCGCACCGACAGCCCAAAAAATGGTCCAAATGATGAGAGAACGCCACCGTCAATCTTATGATTGACAATGGTAAAAAATTCTTAGGACCATCTTACCTTTCTTTGCTAACGGTTTTTGTTTAGTAACCTGATAACCTGTGTGAAGCCTGCATGGAAAGTTCAAAACGTTCAGTTCTCTGCCTGAGTTTATGCGCCGAATGTCCTTCATCAAATCGTGAAAGTCAAGTCATTATTCATAAAAGGGGCGGTACCGAAGGGAAGCGGATTATGGTTACAAAATTTTGCTGCCAGAATTTTTTCAGTTGAAGCAACGATGCAACCCTTTTCTTAATTTGATTAAATAAGAATGCTGAAGGATATATATCAAAACGTTGCTGGTATAGGCTATCTTGAACAAAGATTTTAAATGGCAGACACATAACATAGTTCAGAATTTCAAGTAGTTAGATATAAAGTTGATGAAAAGTGATTGCATACCATTCCATTTCAAATTGCATTTCAATCTGCATTTAAAATAGTAAGACAAAACGGTGTGCCTCATTGATACCATAAATCAAAGGAGATATTTCCAAAAGCATACACTTACAATAACAAGCAGACATCATTTCATCTAGATCCGAATGTCATGAAACATCTCGACCCATCTCTTCCTCGACTTGACTCGGGTCATATGGTAGTTGTTCTTTCCAAACGAAGATAACATCCTCGTGGAATCAATCATGCAAAACGTCTCCAAAACGAAAAGATGCTTGAAATGAGATGGGAAATTGAAAAGACAATGAAGTTACAGATCTTTTTTAATGAAATGCATTGTTCCTAAGGTGAGAAAATGATGCAAAACTTTTGAATAAATGAAGCAGTATGGGAGGTACAGTGGAGCTGGGCTAAGATTTTCTATCATAACGCTGGTTGTAGAAATCAAAGAAGTAATGAGATACTGCAATAAGGGCAAGTATATCATTGACTCATGAAATTCTTCTTTTAGATTTACAAGACTTACTTAAAGGCACTTTTTCTCAATGCATTGCCCTGGCCATTTAAATTTCCCCACACAATAGACCTATAGCTGCGTTGTTCCCTTGAACATAAACTTGCTGCGGAGCCTATTGTTAACTCTGGACGGTTTACTGACGGGACATCGTGCCTTAAAGGGCCCCTTAAAGTTGAAGGGAGGAGGAATCCCTATCAATTTACAAAATATTGAACAATTTGCAATTGAAGACTAAACAAATGAATAACTCTAAAATTTCGGATTTTTCCATCAAAGTGGTTGGCTCGCTGGTTTACAATTATCACCCAAGCTACAGCTAAGAAATATCTAGCAATGAGTTTTGTTCTTACCCTTGCAAACATATCATCTAAGATATTGGAGCATCCACAACCACAGGCAAATTTTCTATTCGCCAAGCTTTCACATGCTTCTCCTCTTGCCTCATTTCTTACGCTGATTCATTCTCCTCTTGCATACGCTTAACGAAATGTTGGATTCTTTAGACAGGGGAGACATCCCGTAAACTGAACGCAAAGATCACGAAAAAACATAAAATCGAACATTCGCACACGACTGTCTCAAGGAATTTCAATGCAGGTGCACATATTCCGCCAAAAGTTTGTTGGTTTTAGACTATTCTATGCTGCTAAGGATTGAGAAAAAAGAAAGATGTTCGAAAAAATAATCATTTCGAATTGGGGAAATTTCTATCTTATGGACTCAACAAACGGTTTTCATTCAAATCAAAGCGTCGCCGCTCTCTTCATTTCGTTAGTAGCATCAATTCTAACAATCAACTCCTTGAAAAATGTGAACAATTTTTTTGCGGTACAGAATTTGAAAATGGCTTTGAAAAAAGCAAACATTCTACAACATACTAAAAGCTTTTTCGTCTGACACTCCTCAGAGCATAAAACGTCAGAATCAGGGTCCGAAAGAACACGATGAAAAATATACACCCAGTTGTGGATCGAAATAGGCCAATCAGAAAAACGCAAGCACTAGACCGGTATAGTTGACCAATCAGTGCCGCGAGCCTAAAGAAATTTGGTCAACTAGAAAGTCAACTTTTCTGCAGTTCCATTTATCGCTTCTTCTGTTAACCTTTTATTCTCTTTTCTAACCATCTAATCATACTCAACTCGTTTTCAATGAGGGGGTATATCAGAAACCTCTTATAATCAAGGCTATACCATTTATAGTCATCGTTTTATAGAATATTCAAACGCAGCAAGTATACTTAGTACCTACCTTCCAAATTTGTCATTACAAAATATCACCAAAGTATTACCCCTTCCTTTTTAAGTCGTTCTGTTATTTTTGAGCGGCTGCTCCCATTGTAAGATTACAGTATACGTAATCAAGGGAAACTACTTTACAGAAGTTTTACGAGCATTCGAAAACTAGTGTTCTTCTTAGGTGTTATTTTCTTTTCAGTTTCTGAATGAAATTCAAATATCCAACTTTAAAAAAAAATATCGAATTTCTCGTACTTTAGGAAAGAAAGAGCCTTACTGGCATAATAAAATTACAGATAGGCCTCGAAATATTGAAATAGATGACATTAGAATTAGAAGAATCTTTCTAAATAATGAGTTCTGAAACTTAGGCTGCATTAAGCAACTGGAAAACTCAATGTCGACCCTACTTTCTCATAAACAATTTGAATAACAAAAAATTACACTGGTTAGATTATGTAAAAATATCCCCTCGAATAGGCCCCCACCTTAACATGCCAACTCTTGCGTATTAGTAAGCACCCATGGGGGCTTCATTGAGATATAGAAGGAAGATAAGATACACCATTCAAATCCGTGATTTATAAACAAAATTTAGCGGTGAATGAAAAAACCTAAAATAAACAAGACATCGATGAAGAGATCGCCAAAGAAAACGAACACATCAATATTTTTGGACTAAACTGTATATTTGTGCCTTGATTTAAACTTTGTTTTTATATTTTAGAAAGAGCCGTTGAATGAAATTGCAAACGAAACAAAATTGAAATTAGCGGAAAAAACGATAAAAAGGCCTATTTGTATGTCAACTTGGAGATGATTGTTTATACCGCCCATTCCTCGCTCGAATAAGCCTCCGTCCAAAAATTGCCAATAAAACCCTAGAGGGCTTTCGAGGCCTTACGATATTTCATACAAGAAGCAAGTAATCAAGAAGTTTTGACTATGGAATTACCTCCGATAACATAACCGTCGTGTTTCGATTTGAATACAAAGAAAAGTTAAAAATCTCAGCATGTTTGGACTTGAAAAATTATGACAGCTAGACGCGTGCCAGCATACGAATTCCCTCAAGCAGTATTATTAAAGATAACATAGATAGAAATAGATTTCATTGTGTTAGAGCCCAAGCCCATTTCCACTTGTTATCATGCCAAGCCTCAAACACGAAAACCCATTTACACGCGAGCCTCCCCAATGTCCTCCATAATTCGAATATTCGTTAACTCGTTAACGTTAATTCGAATATTCGTTAACGTTAATTCGAAATTTTCGTCGTACCCCTGGAGGTGCGAGTCATAGGGATTCTCGAACCATGGGTGAAAACGAAGAGAAATATAATAACATTTATGATAATCTTTCGTACTTATACAGGTTTATTTGTTCAGTGAGTAAGTTGTTGTTATCAACCAAAGATCTGTAAATCGCAGTGATACCGAAATTGTCGACTACAATAAAAACAAGTTTATCTAAATAATTTATTTTATTAGAAAAAACTACATTATTAAGAAAACCATACTTGTAGCTACGCAAAGGGCTAGCCTTCTTTGTGAAATTACCTAGACGGACAGGCAAATCGATTATATAATTATTGTTCTATCCAAATACTGTGTACTTAAATCCGGTGTTTGCGGTGCTTGCAACAACACCCAGCTTTAGATAAATGTAGACCGAAGAAAGGAAAAAATTAGGATATCTATGTTCCTGTTATTGTAGCTGATTAAATCATTAATAATTATTCCCTGACAGTTTAAATTCGAATACTGCAAAAATAATCACTTGATACATATATACATATCTTGAGAAAATTGCGATTGTGATTAGGAAAAGGCTTTAGACATAACTCGCTCAAGTAATTGAATGAAAAACTTGAAAAATTACGGAAGGATGTCATGCATTCTTTAGAATCTTTCTGGCCCTCACATTTGCACCCTCGATGCGAGCTTCATTTGCATTCGTCTGCAGAAAGAGAAAATATTTAGACATCATGCTTTTGGTACAGCCAGCGTGAACAGAAATTTTTTTTACACAGTCTAAAAAAGTACATTTTACAAGAAAAAGATTACAAAAACGATGCCAATGGGAGCATGTTGGGCATGGCTACCCATTGACCTTAACAAAAAACAATACAGTAGCACCAAAGGCTATACCAAAATCCTGTTTAGTCTGTGCGGATAACTTGAAAAGAAGATAAAAACTAGGACAAGATTTTGGTGTAGTCTTTAGTGCTGATTCTACAGTACTATACATTTAATGCTAATAGATAGATAGATAGATAGACAGATAAACAGCCTATTCGGGCACAAAACAAGTTTCTTCAATGGCACACCACATAATAATGGAGCGATATACAGTTCTAAACTGATGACGTCATAAAGGCACTTTAATTCAGTGATTTTGATTGGGATCATATAACGTGAAAGAGCATTATAAATTATATCTAAATATGCGAAATCATTTGAATGATTTGGATATTGGCTGAGATATGGCCGCATCAGCACAGCCGTATTCATTCACGCAGACCTAATCAAACCCCTGTAATTTGGTCTTTGTTCATAACTTTGAGAACCGAGCCAAAATGAAAGTAATCTGGCTGCAAACTTCCAACTTTTCATTGTCTATATCTCACCAAATTATGTACATATTTAACCGGCTTTCCCTATTTTCCCTATTTTGTGAAGTTCCTGGTCAAGTTTATGTGGTCTAAAGTCAATTATAAAATTAATACTCTATGACATCACAGTTTAGAGCCCCATAGCAAATTGCCAAGCTGCTCATGTATAGCCTGGATTCTAGAAAGACCGAAACTGCATCTAGGAAATGATTCCACGAACTATCAAGAAGCCAAGCTACCGAAAGATTTGAGTTTTTAACTGCAAAAAGTATATAAAAAATTATCTTAGAAGACAGGATATTAAATGCATTAAGATATGGTGTTAAATTGACAATGGAAGAGGACTACACAACTTAAAGTGCTAACGAAATAGAAAAGACAAACCTTATCTGTAATTCTGTCAATCTGTCTGTTCTGCTTATCTAGTTCTGTTCCCATGTCAACGGCCATTGCTTTCAAATTTCCAACAATTCCAGAAACTTGCCTGAAAATATGAAGAAACTCCCTCTTCACTTCCCGCGATGATATTTTCTGTGGCCCGTGCTAAGTCAATCAAGTTTACAAAAATTAAGACCATGAGTTATGTCTATAGTGTGCCATTCCTGCCTATGCAATCTAATCGTTAGGCGTACTTATTTGATTTGAAAGTAGACCTTTTCCCTTATGAAGCTGAACAAGTAGAAGCTACCAGTCTAGTACATAATTTGAATAAACTTTCTGCAACCAAAAATATAGCATTTTTTATTGGTACCTTTTTCATTTATCTATTTGTGTAACTTTTCACATAATTTTCCATGTTCAATACAAAATTTGCCGAAAATTTGCTTATAGCCCGCCTACACAGGAAGTGTTTGTATGTGGCCCACCTCAAAAACAAACTTGAACCCCCCTTAACTTGTCTTGATAGAAAATATAAAATGCGTGGAATGGAGCTGGTTGAGTAATTATGAACTTCGATCTGCAAATAATTACGATTTTTTGAAAAAAATACTTGGAGAATTGTGGAAAAGCTTATATTAAGAACCTAACTGAGCAATTCTTTGGAAAAACAGCGCTAGGTAAAGGTGCTAGGAAAAGAACAAACTTTGATGCTCAATTTTGTTGACTGACATGACTTCGTAAGTCTAAATCGGCTTTTGAAAAACACAGGAGGGCTGGGACAGGGCCAGCAAATATTCCTCTTGAACATCAGAAGGTTCCCATTGTCGTTTCAATTGTCATCATTACATGGTTACCACAAGAAAAGAGATATACATGGTCCCATACATACCTAGCAAAAACTAGAAAAAATTGGAAAACGTAGCTCATTATAGAATGCTTGTTTGTTGTAGAATAAATTATGATATGTGTTGAATATCAAAAATTACTATACATTACCCTAAATTTTCATCCATTTCATCCTCTCGTGCATCATTTGTTACTCTAATAAATAAAGAAAGAATTAGCTGCGAATCCTCTTACAAGTTTCTACAGACAAGGCTTTATAATTAGGTTCAAAATCAAATCCACTGGCCACAAGGCCACGGCTACGGTTCCTCTGAACATGCTTGAGCTTGAACACTTACTCAATCGGCACTCAATTGCTGTCAATTATTTTTATAGATCGTTGCAACAAAAAGAGAAATAGATTATTGAAAAATTTTGTTTGATCTTGACTTCACCAAAACGTAAATCGTTAGCATTCCATCAAGGGTCTATATAAATATCATTTTCTTCGTCTTTGTCATATCCATTCTACTCTCCATCCTCTTCACAAACAAGGTGCTTATTTACTTTAACAGTAAAGACCCTCATTTGTGGGGAGACTTATGAATTATGTAGCTGCTTTGAGGGGGGTCACACTCGAGTGGGACCACCATTCGAGGAGGGCGCTCATACGAGAATTCACGGTATGTATTACATTTTTGTTTCCTGATTTAGTCACTGATTTAATAATGACTTTTGCTTGAAAAAAGTCTCAACATGAATAAACCTTTACTATTTCCAGGATGAAAATGCAAAAGCAGAAGCAAATTTCCACGAAACACTTGTAGGTAATAAGTTGGTTTCTGCTGTTTATAAAATTGTGGATGAATCTATTGTTTTTGGATTTTATTGATGGCATTACAAGATATATACAATGCTGCTGACTAGCTGTTATGACGCTGATGCACTGCTATTACGAGAATGAATCCCCAGAAATCGTGTTTTGAAAGCAGTGGCCAGCTCTTAACTTCCTGGCAAAGACATTGCTGGACACAATATCATCCCAAAGTTAGTAATTTCCAGGGCAGTTTCCAGGATCGATTCAACAATTTTGCCCGGCTAAAAAACTCTTAACATCATCTATAATGTATTCAAAAAGGGACTTCATGAAAGACTTCATGTAGATCTAGATTGATGTAAGTTTGCTCTGGAAAAGTTTCATGCAAAAAGAGGCTAAATCAACCAACCTTTGAATGTATCCTCCTTGAGCTGGTGCCTCTCCTCTATGGCCACCATTTATGTTCCCCTTTGCATCTGATCGTCTGTCATCATCTTTTCTCCCATATGCTCTCTTATATTCTTCAGTTTTCTCAAAGTTCTTTTTCCTAAGAGTAGATTCGCATAATTCACATTGACTTTATTCAAAACTCAAAAAGAATTGTTGTTCAATGACACCCTTTTCATACTAGTGTCATAATTTCACCAACAAACACTGTTTTCCATAACATTTGAAGATAAAATCAAGTTATTTCTAGGAACATTATCTACCATTATCTTGCTACAAATAGAAAAGGAAGTTCCAACCGATTTCAATCATTCTTGATAAGACGCCTTTGCCTGTTCAAACACTAATATGCCTTGCTTTTTCATTCTTGATCAATACCAAAATATTCATTTTGCCATCACCTTTAAAAATATAAGCTTGATCTACAAGTGCATATGGCTAAATGTACACTCAAAGCCAATGTGGTACAGGTTGAAAAAAAAGCGCATTTCATCTAAGGCCAAAACCATCATTTACCTTCTACAACTACATATGCAGAGGCCACAAAACTTCTCAAGGCCAGTCAAATTCTTCTCTGCTTCTTTCATATCTGTGTTGATGTTATCCAGCGTCTGGTCAATTCTGTCGAGCTTTTCACCTTGCTCATCAAGCTCAACCAGTGTCTTGATCCCAACATCTTGGGTCTACACAAGAGAGCAAGAATAGAAGCATTTAGCAAACTCTGAAAATCACTAATAATTGCAGACTTTGAAGAATGGCAGCTTGCTACTTATTCATCAATGCAGGGAAATCAATGTGATATCCTTTATTCATAGAAAATTTCTGAGAGACAAAGTAGTCCAGGACCAATGGCCCTATGCACCTGTAATTTTAGAAAACACAACAAATTAACTTTTACAGAGCCAAACTTTAGAAGTAACGATACCAAACAAATGCTGATTAGCACTAGTCATACCTAACAAAAATTAAGGCAAAATTTGAAATTCAAAGGGACAGACCTCTTCTGCAGTTCTCAGAATTCTTCTTGTGCTTTCAAGTGACTGCAAGAAAAATATCAAAGTGAAGAACCTGGCTGATATCACATTAGCATAAATCTACTACTAGACAAGACTCTTCTAGAGCATTTAACTTTTTGCAATGCTAGCACAAAGCCATAAACAAATGCAAACTCAAATTTATGCATGAAGCACTTTACATCCACTCTCAGTTTAACTAACAAATGACAAAGAAACAAAACAAGGCCCCAGCACCCAGCAGCATTGATGATTTCGTAAATTATCTAAGCAGTAATTCTATTCTTATATTTTGGAACTCCAGATAAAAGATTTTTCTGTTGTTCATATTTTACAAATATCTAATTACATGTAAGTATGAACAAATGTAATGAACAATTTAAAAAGCACACCAGCAAAGACAATACAAAATTGTAGAAAATGAACTTATGGGAAACAATCAAGCTTCACTTTATTTATATAATTCATATCATGGAGTAAAAATCTTTATTAAACTGACATTTTTTTGTCAAAAAGTGAATATGGATTTTTATTCAAAAATTAAAACTCTAACCTCATCTGTGATTTCATCAGCTTTCCTCTGCATTCTTTGCAGCTCCATCCGCATGCGATCTTCTTCTGACATCATCTTGATTTCTTTTATATTCTACCTGGATTCTGAAATTGTTGAAATTGAGTTGTCGTGTATATTGATTATGCCCACAACTATAAAGACAACAACCTTTAAACATGAATAAGGATTTCTATAATATTATTTAAGAGACTGTCTGACAGATTAGTACTATAAGGAAACTATACTGGTCATGTGCTCATGTTTTTCTGATTGGTCTGTTTTGATCCATAACGGGGTATATATTTACCTTCTTGATCTTTTTTACCTTTATTATGAAGTTTTATATTCTGGCAAAAACTTTAAGTCACATTGTTAAATGTTTGTTTTTTATCAAGACAAATTTAAATAAGCAAAAAGATAGGGGGATTCTGCATTCTGTGTATAATTTATATACACATTTTGGCCTAGACCAAAAATTAAGCCTAATCCAAAGGTGAAGATATTTTTCCTTAGATGAATTTTGATATAATTAAAAATCTTACAAAAAAGATTAATAACAAATTGACCTGCAAATTTGACAGAGTAAATCATAGAGATAATCATAACAATAGCTAAAACAATAACAATAACATTATAAATGATAGACCGAAATTGCATTAAGTACTGCTTAAGAAAGACTGCTCTAGGTATTGCTTCAAAAACCATAAAGAAGACCCAAAGACCTAGTAAAAACTTCTGATGTACACCAAACTTCAGCATTGAAAGTTTATAAAACTCTGTTATTGATGCTAAATTTATTGTTGTTGTTACTATACATGGTTACACTGTTTCTCTTGCCAATCATCTGAACAAAGTTTTCTTAATAGCCCACAAGAAAATGTAATTCAGGGCTCTATCTAATACCTTTACTATTTCTACATACTACTTATTTCATTGACTTGCACTAAAATTGCATCCATTACTTCTCTCCCGGTCATAAAACCAAACTGTAATGGATCTTAGGCTGGAATTCTTGAGATGTCTTGCCTAAAAACACTCTTGAAGATTTTGATAATGCACTCCAGTATTAAACTCTACATACACAATACGTTCTTCTCAATGGTTTGTTGAGTGGGAAAATGAATTGAACATGCCACTAAAGTAATTCTGTTTACCTTCAATTTTTGAGGCAGATTAAACATCTACCAAACAATGTCCACAAGTCCTCAATTAAAGCGCGTTTCTACAGAGCTTCTTATGTTGAATGTTGCTTAGTGAAATATTTAGTTCAATTGTAAATGGTTGTCATCCTCAAGGGCATAAGCCAAGCAAGCAGAATGGGCAATTGCACAGAAACTTGAAACATTTGAATGCTGGTAAGCAAGTTCAGTTGATATTTTCAAAATTTTTTTTTTACATGCAGAAAACAACATAGATCCAGTAAGAAAAGATGTTGCTTGATAGTTGCACCATGATAATTGCATCTTATTTGTTTACATATGGAGCACATATACATTAATTCTTTATAAGAAACAATGTTAGATCTTGAGTACTCCAATTTCTTAATGTTTTAGGAAATTCCAATAACTAAGTGTTTCTTAAGAGTTTCTTAGCTATCATGTCATTAATTTTAACATTTGGGGTCCTATGTTTATAGGGGCTGTGTCACGGCCAAACTTGCACTTTGGATAATGGCAGAAGTTGCTCCGGTATTTTAAATGCTGGATAAATTTTATTTTCTAAGTTTATTTACCGAACATGGAATGGACATTTAATTTCTACATTGGTTCCAATAATTAATACAAAATGTGTAAAGCAATTGTATTAGGTCAAGGAAATGAAGCGCCATTCCAACAATAGTGTTGATATTTCATTTCTCTTGGTGGATTTTGATAAAATAAGACACAATCAACAAAGGTATTATTTCAAAGTTATCCTGTAAGTGTTAAAAAATGTTTTTGTTCATTATTACATCAGTAAGATAGGTTTTTATGTTATTTGTTTTTACAACTCCTGCAAGTTGCTGTTATCCTAGTTGTAAATGTGGCCTCTGTTTTTTCAAATGCTTGCGGTATTTCTGTCAGGAGAATCAATCCTTTCTAATGCTGAATTTAGATCAAGTATACTATCATTCTCTGTGATTAGGTGTTATGCCACCTAGCCATTATTCATATTTATGAAAATTTAATACTTAGGATGCAATATAAGGGTGCCTAAGATTCTGTTTTGCTTTTTTGATAAATAGCAAAACTTTATCAAGCAATAAATTTTCTATCATTTATTGTCATGTTGAATTTATTGCTGACTTGTCTGTGTGCACTGGATCTTCACATATGTGTGAAAACATACCATATTTTCTAAATAGACGGATTTCTAAGTGTTTTTCTCGACAAAAATGCATTTTTGTTATGGTGTACAAAACCGAGGAGAAAAGCACAACGCTTTGCAGTCTAAGAAAATAAAAGCAAATTAATTCACTACAAACTTTTATCATATTTGTGAACAATTAGTACTTGGTAAGGAAACTATGGGTTGTGGAACAGCTAAAAGTTTAGTTTCAGTGCATAACTTTATTTGATACCGACGTCTATTTTTGACAAAATCTGACCCTACTGCAGAGTGCAACGCTTGCTTGCCAACAACTAGAAGACCAATATTTGCTCGCTATTTGTTAGCTTGGCGAATATTTTTACAGATTCAAAATTTGATTCACACAGTTGTTATTTTATGAAGATTTATGTGTAACTTGCACCCAAACTTAGGGATTGTCCCTATAAATGTTCGCTGGGGATCGCCGACAATAAAAGTTTTAGTTAGGCCTAGGCCCAGTAAGAACAAGGGGCCTCAGTGCAGGAATCGAGTGTGCAAACCAGTAAAATTGTGTGGAAAAACCTGAATTTGCAGAGAAATCAGCTAAATTAATACAAGGTAGAGCTGATTTAAACTTACCACTTTTTTGTTTCTTTTAACCGAGCACCTTTGTTTCGCTTTGGAAGTATTTCACGGCGACATCCGAGAGGTGCCTCACCCTGAGAAGCCGGTCGGATAAAATGACTGCAGCCGCTTAGAAGGAGTGTAGTCAGGTTACAAGGCAAACAATTAATACTTTTTAGACTGAAATTAAAATATCGAAAGAATGAAAATTCTGATCGACACAAAAACTTTGCATTTATTTATAAATTGCAAACAATTTTACATGATTGAATTATTACGATTAATGCAATGGAAAATTACAATTTAAGTTCCTGCATACATTATAATAATTACTGTCGCCGACAGGTTTGAAAAATTTAGTTTTTATTTGATTAGAAAACAGCGAAATGTTGCTCTGCTTACTATTCATACCTTTACCTTGACTTGAAGTGTTTTAAATTTGCTTTGGAAATTGAAAAGAAAGCAGGTTTCAGGATGAGCTTGTTATATTTTTGATCCTTTAGAATTCTATAGTAATTCTGTATTGTATGTGCTGTTTAGGTAATATGTAGTTGTTCTTATCTTCTGGCTTAAAACCTAACCGTAGGCTTTAAATCAAACCTAACTGAAGCTTTGCAACTTATTTAAGCTTTTATCGTGTTTCTTGACCTGGTCACAGACCATCAACGCTTTCCTTTTGGTGACACGGGCTAGTTTCTTAATGTGACAGCTTTTCTTGTACCAGAATTTGTTTGCACATCCACTCCTTCTCAAATAAGTAACAGAATAAAAAAATCAGGTGATAAAAGCCCCCAGTTAATTAATTTTCATCGGAAGCTGTTCTGGACTAAACATCATCACTTTGGTTTTCTACAAAAAACCTTCTATTGACATAAAAGGTTCTTGTTGCTTTCAAATAAAACAAACAAAAATACTTTTTTTTATAGAAATGATAAAACTTTGCCGGTTGGAATCTGTCTAGCATGAGTGTAAACAGTAAAATTGAGGAAGTACACAGCGAAAAAGGCGATTTTATTACAGTGTTCTGACCAGGGGCGTACCTTGACAATTTGGAGTAGGGAGGGGAGGGGGGGGGTGTAAACGGGTGAACTTACCGACTAAAATTCAACTCTTGTTTGTCAATGTATACACACCAATATACTGTTTAAAGTCAAGATAAGCATCTACCGACAATCCATAACATTTACCGACCATCCGTAAAATCTATCGAACAACTTTCCAAAAGTACCATCCCCCACACACCCCCGGTAGGTAGGCCCTTGGTTTTGACTTACCTAGTATTTGAAGACAATGTACGTTTTCAAAAATTTACCATTTCTAGCTGGCGGACCAAAGTTTAGATTCTCGATTCTTTATGATTGCAAAGACAATGTATTTTGCAGATTTTCATTCACATTTAATGATAAAATACATATCAGTGAATTATATTATAAAACAAAATTACTTTTTTACAATACGAAGGCCTCACAAGAAGGAATAATATTGAAGTTCAATAATTTGGAAAGAAGAAATTTGTGTTCTTTGATACAAATAAACAAACAATTTTTTCTTGCTGCTTAAAAGGAAAAAGCGTCGTGTGCTTACAGTCACGTTACCACTGACAATAGCGCTATAAAACAAGCTCTAGGGAGTGACGAAAAGTTTTTTTGGAAATGGCATGTTGCAATTAAAAGCGAACGACATATTAACGATCGAATAGTAACCACTGAGCAATGAAATCTGGAAACATAACCGTAGGAGGGGAGGGGGTTAGGAGCTGCAGTACCTTAGAATATTTAAAATTGTATACTTAGGGCCTGTCTCAGAGGTGGCGCCAGAAATCTTCCGACAGAGGGGCTGGAGCTTCCAACAGGGGGGCTAAAATGATTAAAATAAGCAGCTTTCGTACGTTATTTTGTCAAATTTGCTCCGACAATAACCTAAAATTTCCTACGATGGGGGGGGGGGCTAGATGCTTCCGACAGAGGGGCTGTAGCCCCCACTAGCGCCACCACTGGCCTGTCTATATGGAGAAAATCATCCCACCTTCCAGCCTGTGAGCTGAAGGGTGAGATCCCATTTTTCTATAGAGTCTTTTGCGTTTTTTTGCCTTGCGTTTAAATGGAAAACAAGCCAGCTCGGTTAAGTGAGATCTCACTGCATGAGAGGTGGGATCTCACTGACACGGATTTAATTTTTCCATATAAACGCTGATAGGTGAGATGAAGCTGGAAGATGGGATGAAATTTTCATATAAACACGATGAAATTTCGTCCAACTTGTTCCCTATATAGAGTTGGAAGTTGGGAAAGAATCTACATGTAAACATTCGATGATTTCGCCCCACCAGTCAAGTTATGGGTTGAGAGATGGAATAAATTTGCTCATATGATTAACCAAAAATTCTCGTCGCTCCTCGTATGCTAGTGAATATTGCAGTATTCCAGCAACATTGAAAAGCATGAAATCGAAATTTATCAATAGGGACAAAAAGGATGAAGGGAAAGGTATTGCTTTATACAGAAAGGCTTACCGTTGAAAAAATGCAGACGCTCGTAGAATCGTTGTCAAGGAAAAAATACTCTAAAGACCGAGAATGAAGAGCCAAAGCAACATTACGTCTCATAAAAGTCTTATAAAGGTTTGTAAATACATAAGCAGAAATATAGCTACGCATCTACAAGATCTCTCAGAAGTCAATCAAGTTTTTTGAGCCTTTGAAGGAGGAAACCAAGACTTTAGTTCATCATTCAGCAAGCCTTTATCTTCCTGCCTTACTAACAGTGCTGCTAAAAGCCACTGAAATGTCCCGTATATACTGCAACTGCAAAGGCATATCCAAGCATACAGATTCGACCAGACACGCTATCAAAAATACAGTAAATATTGCATCAATTTCTAGTTTGATTGAACTTACTCGATTCTTTCGTAGAGTAAAACTGATAACAAACTTTCGTCTCGACATTAAATTATTGCCACAGTTAACAGCATTCACTTGTTAGGTATACTGCTTCCAGCTAGATCACCATATAACTATTCAGAAGAAGCTTTTGTGGCAAGTAACAAAAAACTCTTGTGTACAAATACCCGTTATAGCTACTTCGACTGGTATCAACTTGTGGGGCTTATTTGAAACCTTTAAGCCAGGCCATTACTTTCATGACCGATTTTGGGTCAGGTATCACCATAAGCGGCACCTGAATCTTATCTGACCAGCAATGGCATTTGCGAATTTTACGAACTTTCTTCATGATAACCCTTTCCTTTCGTTTCGGGCAGTTCAAGACGACTGTAGTCCAAATCATCGATGCTGGCTGGCATTGCACACAGAGGGCCTTGCGTGGCTTAACGTCCTTGCTATCTTCTGGCACATACGCAGATTTGCACATGCCGTAGCACATTTTGTTGACAATCGGCTTTGAAATACAACCAGGATGAGATATGACCTGCTTGATAAATTTCCCGCGACAAAACTGACGCTGTGGGTTGTAGTCATTGATGAATTTTTCAAGGAACTCATCACTAGTTTTCAGGTCCTCTGGTCGCAATGCGGAACGCGACCTACGTCTAGCGTAAGTGTCCGTAATAGAAATAATAAGAATAAACTCTATATACAACGAAAACAGCAAAAGCGAGTTTGTAAACAAACGCGACATCATGATCTTGCCTCGATATCACTATTCCAAGAAGATTCGAAGAGTTAGATGAAATCTATATGGAAAAAAGGAGACGAATTAATAAAATAACATATATACTGCATATTCCACTAAGCCTTGAAAGAATATAGTAAACTAATTATCAATTTAGTACTTAATAACAATGGTTCTCTTTACTGTTGTGCTGGGTTGCCATTTTACCGTTTTGACGGCTAAATACCCGAATTCCAGCCATTTTTTCAAAACCCTTGGCTGTTGAAAATTGATTTGGCCGTAGAAGAAAAATTTGGCTGGGTTTTCACCATACATTGCCACAAAAATACAAAGAAAACGACAATTTTTGCAAAGACAACGTTCAAAATTTTGCTACGATAATCTGAAATTGCAAATGACGAAGCCTTGTAAGGCTATACATATAAGACGGTGTTTTTTTTAAATTTATTGGATCAGCCAAACATATCGAGACTGGATGTATACGAAATAGACAGTGTTTGGTCAGCAATGATACAACGGAACAACCAACTAAAAATGATTTTGCACCATTCTTTCAGTTCCAAAGACTACTTCCTAGGAGGGGGGATGGGTTAAAGGGGGAGATTCCAAGTGAATCTTGACTTTTGGAAAGTGACATGGGCATGGCTGTAAATATGAGCTAATATCTCAACAAAAACACAAATAGAAGTATCAATTCAAAATTTTTCCCAAAAGGATATGAATTCTGTGGTGCTAATTTTAGTGACCTTTGGCAGGAAAAAATCTTCTCCCGTCTCCAAAGTTCTCCTTGCAGCCACCAAGTAAAAACTCTTTTTGTGTTTTGCCTAATTAAAAGACCATAAATAAAACAGTGCATCATCAAACAAGGAAGGTGAAAAGCTGACAAAAATAAAGAGATTCAAAGCGATGTAATTTCTTACCAAGATCGTCATTTAGCTGCTTTTAGGGACCCTCGGTGAATAAAAGCCGTCGGTATATTTGATAGATATAATGGGCTTGTACGAAAAAGGACAGAACAATCTTTGCGGCAAAACTAATGACAAACCATTTGCAAGAAATAGAACGGTAGTTACAACTTGCAATAACTGTACTTATTTCAAATAGCGGTATAGAAATTTTTGCTATGACGTAAGCAGTTGTAATATCATGGCATCGACCGTGACGTTCTCGTACTTCCGACAAGATGTATTGGCACCTTCACTACTCTTAGTGACAACAAAACAAATAAGATGAATAGTATTCTAAGAAAAATGGAATAGTGATCAGAAAAAAGTTGACTTGGATTTTTAAAATAGGGTTAAGCTCGAGGAATTAAGACATGCGATGTACGAAAAATATTATCGTTTTGACTGGTTAGGGGCTTATTGTCTGGGAGGCGGTTGGGAACCGGTTCACCGGGGCAGAAGCTTGCCAATAGATAAGAGACTTTACGTCAAGTCTTTATTGAAAAACCTCTGGTGCAACAGATACGAATTCAATTCCAACCTGGGTTCTGACCCAAAAATTTTACGATTCCATCTCGCTTACCGATATACCAAGACCTTGGAGAATTCATTATGCCTAGAAATTCAATTCGTCGCACCAAGCTTAAAACGTGTACACTTTGCAATATACTGCTCATTTCTATGAACGAGCTAACAAATGTAACAAAATGAATAAAAATAAAACGAAATACATAGCAACCTACTCAACAGGAAATCTTCTAAGACCTCGATCACGCTACGGAACCAAATTTTGCAGAAACCTTGGTTTAGTTTCGCAGTTTGTGGAGACTATTGCAACCCACTTCGTGACTGCATCACGGACTAGTACTGAGTGCTTGTTGCTCCCTATTTTCAACACATTCCCATAAACTTTTAACGGAAATAACTAACTGTCTGCCGCTACGTAGATACGAACACTGATTCACGGTTAACGGAAAAACAAGTCGTCTCTTTTGAATAATTAAACAGGAGAGCGTCATGCTTCGGAGGTAAAAACTCTGAATTTTACAGCAAGTTAATTTCACAAACAAACAAAAAGTTCGAAGTTGCTTAGAATATACAGTGCTTGTGTTTGCTTGAGATTTCAATGATAATGTAACAAATTTCTGTCTAAAAAGTCACGTCTGATCTCATATTGGCAAGGTTCCATGTCGTGACATTCAAAGTGATTTTGCTTTTCAGACAGTTGTGCTGGCGCTCTAGTGGTGACGTTTGAGTTGGCATTGGCGTAAGGGGTGGTTTGGCGTAAGCGGGCGTTAATGAAAAGATTGGCGTTAGTGTAGGTTGGCGGTTGCACTGATTTATTGACATTGAAAACCGGTCACAAAGAGGGGAAAATCAGCTTTAACAATACCAGAGGATTTATAAAGCCACAGTCAGAAACTTAGGCCGTTCCAAAGCTGATTAATTGGGCCCCTTTGAGTAATTTAATATTTTATATATTTTAATTCTAAACGACAAACTGCAGGCTTAAGAAACTTGCAGCGCGAGGCTAAGATAATCACTATTGAAAAATGATGCATATGTTGATGATGATTATGTTTAGCATTTATGATGGTATTTAGTGGCGTGGCAAAGAGGAGGGGAGGGGAGGGCTACAACGAGGCGGGACAACTGTCTTTACTTTTGTCTGATTTCTTAACACATTGTCTCTTCAAATGTTGATTTTAAATACTACAAACATATCAAAGTTTACTTGTCATTAATGCCAAGAATTCTTTCGGGAGATTGTCTCTATGCTAATGTAAAAGGAAGCATCCCACTAGCACGCCAGAGCCGGGGAGTGGGGGAGGGGAGCTTTGGGGGCTCTAGCCCCCTCACTTTTCGCCGGAGTATCATATCAAGGAGCCAATGAATACCACACCAGCTTGGCCATGATTTTGATGATTATGGTAGAAATGATGATAATGGGCCACCGTGAAGGGGGGCCGAAATGAACTAAATATTGACATGGCAAAATATTTTCAAAGAGAAAAGCTCATTTTGTTTGGCGTTAAACTGAAATGAGCATTACGGTTTTCCTGGGAGGATTAATTGTTTTTTTATATCTTGACCTTGGCTTGTTTTTCTTCTACAGTGCTGCATTAATATCATTGAACTCATTAGGACTAGAAAAACAGATAATTTCCCGAAGACGATCAACAATGGTTTCAAGGAAACAATATCCATAGCAACGTGTCCGACATATGACCACAGACCACGAGTAAGAAATGTGTACCAAATGTATTTATCGATATAATACTATAAGATACAAAGATATAAATAGATATATAAGAAAAAAATGAGAGTTTTGAAAAATTTCCTGCACTATAACTAGTTTGAAATTGGAAAAAAAAACTAGAATGAGGAGTAGATCTACAGCTAAAATCAACTGGAAGTCGCGTAAAAATAGGTTTTATTTGAAACCAGGAAACGCATGTCGACCGTCACAGATTCAAACTTTGAGGAGGCCAATATAGATTTTTTTTAAAAAATTTAATACTTCGGTATTGTTTAAAATGCCAATGAATCTCTTTTAACTGCTAGAATATGTCCGAAAATTTGCGTCAAATGCAATACGAATTTCAATGGAATAAATCTGGAAGGGGCAACGAGCCCAGTCCCCTTACAAGTCCCCTTCTAAGAAACCGTCTCTCCCCAGTCTCTGGCCTATAAAGCTATTTCCGGTCAAGTCAATGTGGTTATAAGAACAATTTTATAAGAAGCCTCAAAATTGGTCAAAAGTTAAGAACAGATTACTGTAAAATGCAAATTTGAAAAACGTTTTATTTAAAAAACGACGACTTCCAGCCATATGTGGGTGCTTTTTCGGTGAATATTCCAATTTGTCAGCAAGTTAAGGCTGTCTCACTCACTTTGTTGGCAAATGAGGCCTGAACACCTCCCTAGAGCGAAGAAGCTAGCAATAGTACTGCTTACACCCTCTTAATTTAAGAACAAATTAAGAACAATCTAGCCTCAGATTTTCGAAAAGATTAATAACAGCCAGCCTGGACTTAAATTTACTGGTTACTACACTCTTAATTTAAAAGAGTGTAGCCCTAAGAAATCGCACGTACACACAAGATCAAAACAGAATAACGGAGAATTAGAAAAACAAAAGACTGTGGTCGTTACAATTTTTTGTTGGTTGCACTCAGTTGAAAATACGCGGTAAAAGAAAGTCAAATATGTTCTCAGAGAAAGAATTCGTTGGGAATTACATTTACTTCTTGATATATTTGAAATTTTAGTAAATTGAAGGCAATTACACAGAATTCAATTGCCAATTTGTCGCAGAAAGTTACAACAATTATCGAAAGAGCAACACAATTTAGAACTATTAAAACGTAAGTTTGTTTGGAACTTTAAAGCAGTGGCATTGTGCAACTTGGCGCAAAAATTATCTGGTTTGGTAAGAAGAATAATAACATAATAGGCAACTACCAAACCTGTTCTCCAGCAGCTACCAACTTCTCACAAGATGAAAACACGCTCACGATATACATGCAAAAGCTGTAACAATTTTTGACTCATCTCTTGAATGCTTTCAAACAAAATCCTAGAGTTATTAAGTATTTCATTTGCTCGGTTCTAAGCCTCATAATATCAGATGAGCTTAAGAGAAGTCATTATGAATGAAAGTAAACCGCCGCATTAGCTAGATGCTTTGTAAATAGATCGTTACGGATACTGACCAAAAAATGGCCTGACTGCTATTTGGAATATTAACATCCATGTTCGCGCGACAATTACGAGAAAAATTCACACGTACAGGGTTGAATGTGATTCATTATCTTAACTGGTACAAAAGGCATCAGTGGCTCTTTTTGTTATAACCTCGAGGGTTTTCTCAGGATTGCAAAAGAATACCGAATCATTAGAGCTGCATTCGCCCCGAATTCAAAACAACAGCGATAATTTTCTTATGACACCCAGACAGTATAATTTCGTGTCTTCTTCTGATAAATGACGGAGAAACGCTATGGGCAAGGGTTGATACATATAGCAGTTTACTGTGCTCCGGTTATCCAAGAAAGCTAGAAGTTTACTGCTTCCTTATGGAGATACGGGCAAATGTTGCCTAAAACCTAACGAG